TTTTGAACTTCACGTACTTTTGACACTAATGGTGAGTTGCTTTGAGTTTTTTCTTTCTCCTCGGTGGAGCCTTCATCAGATTTTCGCTAAAGCTGAGGTCCTTTTCATTGTGTGTGTGAGACAAGGAGAGAAAATGGTAAGGGTTGAAGATATTTTTTCTACTTATCCTTATCTACCCACCTACTCACAGGCTGTCCAGATATGCATCGTATACCAATCCGGTGTATTTGAAGTTTGAAGCCTTGATAAGTGACTGACTCCTTGGTTATAACACAACCACAAGCTCATATCCAGCGAGAGATTTATCGATGTTGTGCTCTGAAGGCTGGCTGGCTGGCTGGTTGATCAGTCAGTTAGTTGGTTGATTGGTTAGTCATCTATTTTAGCTTTGTTGGGAGAGAAATTGGAATGGAGATGGGAATTGAATGATTTGTAGGGGTTGGTTGGTTTTGGATGCTTGGATTTAGATGCTTAGATTTAGATGGGTTACCGGGTTGAATGGGAAGGTTTCTGAGAAGAAGGGGGGGGGGGGGGGTATTTCGCTTCGAGATTTCAAATCTATCCCCCTCGTGTAACCCATCCTCTCCTCCCATCCTCGCTCCCTCAAAGTGGGCAAGTAGAAAGTAGGAAGTAGAAACTAAACTAGGACTTACCAATGACGACTTTTTGTACCCGTAGCTCTCTGCCCTCTTCTTCTTCACCTCAGACCGAATAACCTCCCAATCTCTTCTAGGAGTCTCCTCTGCCCTCCTCTACTCTCTTCTTTTCCCTTCTTTTCTCCTTTCCTCTCTCACTTCATTATCACATCATACGATAACCTCACCTCCACAATCCCCTTCCTCCTTCCTCCTTCCTCCTTCCTCCATCTGTTCATTGCTGAGACCTTCAAAGTTCATCTTCTTATAAGTAAATCGCTCTTGCAACTCTGACTCCTGATTCCTATTCCTGAATGTAGTCGAGGAATGAGTTATGAGGTTTGGAAAGTAGTTTTTGTATAAAAGAAAGAAAGCGAAAGAGAAAGAAAGAGAAAGAAAGAAAGAGAAAAAAAGAGAGAAGAAATAGGAACTTCATTTCCACTCGGGTGGTATGAATAAATATAAATGAAACTTAAATCTAGAGCATAAGGGGGAGGCAATAGGGAAGTGAGGGAAAGAGGGGATTCTAAGATCGGTATATATATCTTGAGGAGAATATGGAGTGCGGGATATGGATATGGATATGAATAAGGATGTGGATGTAGAATGGGGATGTGAATCAGGTGAGGAAATGTATGAGTAGTTTATAATTATATGGTATTTCATTTGTTAACTTCTTATTTGATTTTGATTTCGATTTTGATTTTGATTTTGATTTTGATTTTTATATATATATATATATATTTAAGTTATATATACCTACATATACCTACACATCCATACCTACACATCCATCAAATATCAACCCAGCCCACCCAACCTCCTTACCCCCATATCCTCAATTATTCTACAAGTCAACTTTAAGCCCGTCCCTTTTTCACCAATACATACGGAGTTAAGTGAGCGAGTGAGTTAAGTGAGTAAGTATCTCGTAACCATTAATGTTATATTTGAATGAGTGAATGCAATGAAAGTATGGCGTCACAAGTAGTAACCAATACACCGAGTCTAGTTAAGTTTCCAAGCTTTCTAGTATCTAATCTCAACATAAGTTACACAATCCATTTCTGAAATTATACATGAATACATACACGCGATCATTCGACATTCGTTACATCCAAAAAAAAGGTATAGTATAGTATAATCCGCTCATCATCATCATCTCCGCGATTAATATCCAGAAATGTATATATAAAAAAGTCCCCCACCCCCCAAATAACTAACTAACCATCCGACTTAACCCCCCCCCTTCTATCCTTAATACAATGCAAATGCAAGAAAATTGAATCGTACCCCCTCATCCCTCATTAGAAAGCCGTTATATTTATATACAACCATACATAAAAAGCTCCAGCCCCATCCCAAATCCGAGATTTTGTCCTTATGCATTTTCGCGATATTTTTCTACTCGTTGTATATAGAATAGTATATTTATTTCCTTCTCACATCATAACATAACATAACATATCATATCACATCACATGATATTAAGCCCAAACAACCAATGCAGCAGCAGCAACCGCAACAACGATACTCGTGAATTTGTTTCCACCCAGAGTTGCCGCATCCGAAGAAGCAGAAACTTCTCCAACGATATACTTAGGATTGTATTCCACATCGCTCGTATCCAACGTACCATTCCAACAGTATCTATTGAAACAAGCCGTGCATGCATCGGGAACGGTAGTTTTGGTCTTATAAAGCGAGCGGGAGATAACGGCGCAGGCAACGCAGGTAGGCCACTCGGGATCAATAGTGGAGTTACCCATAGTAGCGACATTGTAGCCATTTTCGATGATGAGATTGCGTTCTGTGGCGTTGTAGGAGGGGTCGAAAGTCGAGACGTTGGATTGGTAGATGTAAGGTGCGTTGGGGATGTAGACGATCAAGGGAGTTGGGCCAGTGGAATTGGAGGGATCGCAACCGAAGAAACTGGGGCGTTTGTTGAGTCCGAGGTTGACGAAGGTGTTTTGGCCGGGAATCGAGGGGAATGCGGTTCCGTTTGCGATGGTTTCGTTTTGGGATCGCTCGTGGGTTGCGACGAGGGATGTTCCGTTGGGCCAGAAGTAGGTGGTGTCGGCGGATGAATCGATGGCGAAGATTACATCTACTCCACGGATAGGTTGGATGAGAGGATAGAGAGGGATGTTTTGGCCATCCTCACCACCATCGACCAAATCTAATTGAGTGGTTTGAGCATCGCGATTGGTTTGGTTGTTGAATCCGTAAAAGGGGTTAGGCTGATATTGCGCAATATCGTTGTTGGTGAATCCGATCTTGTCGAGAATGGTAGTGAAAGCGTCGGTGACAAAACTTGGAAGGGAACTTTGATTTGCTTGAATTAAAAATTGGTTGAAAAGCGAAGACGAAGTACCCATCACGTAACCGACTTGATCAAAACCACGAACACACTGTTGACCGTCAGGGATAGAACCAGCGGTGAAATTCGAACCAATATAACGAAGGGGTGCAAATCCATATGTCGTAGCATCCCATGAACCAAGCTCAAACGGATTGAATTCGTAGACTGTCGAATTCAGTGATATAATCTCGGTGTTTGGCGAACGACCGTCAGCGACGAGGAAAGGCATGGGAATTTGGCCATTGGCGAACTCTTCCTGTAGTGCAATTGACGAAAATGTATAAGCTGGTCCACCATCTGAAGCATTGACCAATTGAAACGATAATGCGCGTCCCCAATAATCGGTGACCGAGGTGTTGAAATTGAGAGGAGCATCTGCTTTTCTGGAAACCTCGTCCCTAATGGTACTATAGTAATCAGCAGTACTCAAAATCTGAATACCATCATTGTTAGGTCCTTCGAAGATCGAGTTTTGAAAGTTCCACACATCAGAACTATCTCGTAAAGCTTCGACACTACTAAAGTTGTTGGTATAGAGTGATCCCACCAGCCATCCACCACCAGAAAGACCTGCAAGGTAGGTTGTAGCTTGTAAAAGACCTCCAATTTGGCCCGTGTTTGTTGAGTTGGCTGTTCGATTATCGGCAGCAGCGACGAATCCAGCGCCATTCAACATTGCACGGTAACCTCCTCCAGAAATTGCTATACCGATATTTGGTAACGTAGATGCATTGCCGGAGACGCTATTTATATATTTAGCTGCATCGAATCCAGAAATGTTCATCCTTTCGAGGAAAGTTATCATGGGCTGAATAGTATTATTTCTTCGTAATTCTAGCCATGATGTTTCATTGGCAGACAATTCACTGGCTTTTCTGACTGTTGGTCTCGTATCAGGACAATCTACTGCTCCTGGTGTGTAACTTCCTGTTGGTGAATCCGGCAACGCACGCTTGATAGCATACATAGGCGCAGCTAATACTTCGGCAGCGATAACCTTGGGAGATGCATCTCGAGGTAAAACCAATTGACGAGCTAAAAATGAGTTAATAAGCTTGGTACTAGAACTTTCTTGACGGAATAATTACCGTCACATATTGTGGAAGACAACGCAACCGAAGCAACTATCGCTCCGAACCCTTTCATATTGACTTGACTGTCTTGTGTTACCGGTAAGTCGGTCGGTAGGTAAAATATTTCAGAGAAAGCAAAGATGAGAAAGAAATTTAAGAAGAGATATTATATAGTTAAAAAATTCAATGCAAAACTTTTTCTCTCTCTTTCTCGCCTCTCGTTCTCGCCGTCTTTCCCGTGCTTGTTGGAAAAGATGATGTTTTAAATCAAAGGACTCAAACGGAAACGGCAAAGCTAAAGAAGGAGGCTCGGCCAGTTTATATGTTCGTATGACGCAGGTCCACGCTTTTTTCGGCCTAAACGTTAGTACGGGAGATCTACAGGGAGTCAAAAGGCAACTAATGTACGCAAATTTTGCGACTAATTGGTAGTTTCCGTTTTGATTCGTTTTAGAGAATTTGAGAAAGAAAAAGTATATCGGGTGAAGAAATGGTTTGAGACGAGATGAGTAGTAGGTAGTTGCTCGTCCATGTAATCAGGTCGTTAGGGTATCGGTAATATAAAAGAGATCGGTAAGTTAGCTCTTGTATTGTTTGACCAGATTCCTTCTGATGAGACCTCAGCCTCAACCTTGCGAAACACTGTAGCAAACTGGTCGTTGGTATGATATTAGATGTATGTATTAGATGTCTGGTGCATGTACAGCTGTACCGGTCCACTCATGTATATACATATACCTTTCACAGCCTTGGTATGAGAATGGGGGGACAGCAAGGTAAGACCCAAGGTAAGACCAATGTCCTCTCCTGTCTCTACGTACGCGCTAAGTATTGGAATGCGAAATATACGAAATGCGAGATACGAAATGCGAAGTAGTGAGAAGCTTCAAATAGAGGAACACAAACACACACATGATGATCAATCCAAAATCAATCTCCAAAGCCAGCCACTAATTGTGGCTTCTCCCGGGAGTTCGACAAGTCCGCTTTAGCACGATCATAGTCTAAACTCTCTTTGTTAAGAAAGCTCAGCGCTTCGGTTGGCATAATATCCTTACAATATCCTTTGGCCTTGGAAGAGGATCCGATAAACAATACCAGCTCACTCATCAGCTAGATAGTCAGTACAAAGTAGGTGGTTACTTACCTCGGAAGGAGTAGGAGGTATGCGGAGTAAGCATATTTCATGCGAATCCTCCACCTACAAGGCGCAGTCGTAATTCCAAACAAAAGCAAGCTGAGATGGATGGGGTCCAAGCCAAGTCTTAAGGGGAATGTGAGACCTTCAGACCTGGAATGAGAAAACTAGCCCTGTCCCGTCGAAAATCCAGGTAAGCGGTTCCCCAGTTTATGAGTACTCTGTAGAATCGTAGATAGCATATATGCTGTCTGGCCAGACTAAACCCCATATATACATACTATCGTCTCGGTCGTATTGATCGTATTGGTGCTCGGTTCGGAGTTCGGAGTTGGAGTTTTGGAGATCGTATCGATCGTATGGACATTGGACATTCTGTTTTGAGTTTGACGACGAGGATGTTGCGCTTTGAATTGAGTAGGTAGGGTGGGTGGGGTCAAGAGAAGTTCCATCCGGAATGTTCGGAAACGTTAAAAGATGCCAAAATGAACCTGCCAATGAATATCCACCATATAAATGCCTCTTCTCGCAATGTCATTAGAATGGTCAATAAGTGCAGTAATCGATCTATGGGGAGAGAGCTGGAATAAAGTTTTCAACATTTATCTTTACTCTCATACTACACTACGAAGTACACACTACCTCGAGACTGCTTACTATTCGGCCTCTAGCGATTAGCAGTTGCTGAATCGACAATTACTAATTCATCTTCATCGAAAGAAGAGCCTGTAAAAGCTCGCCAGTATTTCAAACTGTGGCATCCTTCCTAGTTTCTTCATAAATCGGATTCGCATGGCAATGTAGACAGACACATTGTACATTATATCAATAGCTATCCTTTCATCACTTCCCTACCCAATCCCAGATGCTATCCATCTCGGGTGTCCCTCTCACCAGACCATCAAAAAATGCCATATTGACTGACACCTTGGAAAGCCTGGTCATCTGCGCCGGCCATAGTTGCAGGCATTCCTAAATACGTCTGATCTTGTGATGAAGAAGTAGATACTGGTAGCAAATTATGATGATGCTCATCATCGATTGTTGTGCTTGGATTGGTGTCTGGCTTTTTGAATGCCCACGGATGATCTGGTAATGTGTTGGGTTCCTGCCCAATGTCATGCAGACCGTTGAATGTTTGCTGTTTTTCGACTCCGGGTGGTGACGTGTGGGAATAATCTAGACAAGTGTTACTCGACGAAGCAAGTGCTGATGTCCTACCTATAGATTCTCCTTGAGAAGCCTGGCGTCTTGATTTCTGTCGAGCAATAAACCTTGGACAAACAACATTAATGGTTCTGAAGAATGGAGTATGCATGCAAAATTTCCCGCTTTCCTTCTCCGTATTCTCCTCCGTATTATTCTCGTCGTTGTTCTACAATTCGAATCATGTAAACAGTTTCCTCGGCTGTCTTTGCTTTGGCATCCAGTAAATTTTGGATCACTTCGACGCTTCCCTCGGTCATTATTTCCTTGCAAAATTCCCTTGCCGCGCTATTGCAGATATCTTTGATGCTATTCATTTTTTCCTGGGCTCGTTCAAGCAGCGGGCAGTCATCCAAGCGCTGATGAGCTAGAGAATTGAGTTTGGGTGAATTGTGATATTGAGCATGTGCATTGAGATGCGAGAGAAGAAGTATACAGGTCGCGAGCAAGATGGTGAAAGATGAAAGCTTGAATGAGCAATAAAGCGGATGAATATCTCCCGGTTGGCACCGACACAAGTCATCTGGGAGTACTCCTATCCGTCAATACCGTTGCCTCTATATACCATATATGGTAGATGAAGTTAAAAAGAGCCCATAATAATATACCTATGCTGATAGGCGAACCACTTCCAGTAGGTTCCCTGGTGACCCGAGTGTGAGAGTGTCTAAACTCACTGGACGCCAAAAACCTGCCAGCATACTTTTGGAACTCTCAATAATTCCGAGTCGGGAGGCTGGGTGGTTGTAACTGTGATCTCGCTCGGATCAGCGATTTCGTGAGGCAAGCGGATGAGGTGAAATAAAAGTGGATTGCATACAGTCAAAGGTCATCTATATTCCTGTGCAAAACTTCAGCTATTCGTCTCGGAACTCCAGTGGATATTCTGTCGATGATTGAGTGTGACTAGGTTGCTGCATTTGATAAATGCAATGTCCCGAGGAGAAATCACTTCGATGTCTCGTTTTGAATCTGAGAGTAATGCAGGTCAGCTCAAACTCTTAGCTGAGATTACTCTAAGAAATATGTCGGAGTAAGTAGCTAGCTATTATTGTATGGGCGATATGTAAATTCATGGAGTCTAATTTCACAGTATCAGATGGAAATCAACTTTACATTTTATCATCTCAGACTTTACAGTTAGTATACCCTAAATATTTATGATTTGGAGGATCATGATATCCTATAATCTCACATATCAAGAGAATATTGAGGCACCACCTTAATCCATAGCGGAAAGAAATATCTGAGAATCTTTGCAGGCTTTGTCCTAAGCTCATAGCAATATGTAAATACTGAACTAGAGCAACAAACAAATCATTACTCGTCCCAAGATCACGATCCAGACGATTGATTTCTCATAAATTCTCTTCACAATCACCTCACTGCGGCCGACAAATATCAAATCATTCCTAATATTTCCTATAAACAAACGTTAACTACCTATGAATTACCTAATACAAGTCACTGTGTTACCCCAATCCCTCAATCTAACGGAAAAGATTCTTAAATCCCTCCATCAACATAGCTCTATTTCTCCCCTTTCTCTGCTGCGCCTGCAACAAATCTCCTGCCGCTTCCTCTCTACCACTACTATTATCAACCATCATCGACGAATGCAACACATTCTCCTTTCTCACCTCCTCTCCATGCGCAGCCGTAACAATCGGTAAAGCCAACGAACTCTTTCCAGACGGAGATTTCGAAGCAGAAGAACGCTTCGAATTCAACGAATCATCTAACGATCCCGAGCTCTTCTTGCTCCTGAAACTCGCTAGACGCGCCATGATTGGACTGGCAGTTGCAGAGCGAGCAGCTCCCGTACCAGTACTACCCTCCTTCTCATCGATAATCACAGCAAGTCGTGAGCTATGTCTTCCAGCGCTTGTATCCTGGCACATAGAGTATTCATCTTCGGGCAATGGCATACTATCGCTAGAGCTGAGACGAGCTTGGCGATTGAGAACCATGGGTCGGAGACTATCCAGCTCGGTGGCCGTGTGATCTTCTGTGCTCTTGTGAAGACTGGCGATACTACCCGAGCGCTTGGTGATGCTGGAGATACTCGCGTGGCTAATCTTGCGCATCATAGAGCTTGCGGATGCTCGGACGGTGTGTTCGCGGTGGGGTCGGGAGCCCATGCCGGGGTAAGGGATGATGTCGCGGGTCCAGACGTCGGCGAGAAGGGTTTCGAGACGGACGCGCTCGGTGCGGGATGGAGCGAGGATTGTAGGGCGATGTGGACCAGCTAGAGAATGGGATCTGTTGATCGAGAGCTGGGAAGCGGAGCTTGAGAGAGATGGTTCGACTGTGGCGCAAGTGTTTCTCACAATAACGCTAAGAGGAATGGTGGTTTGACCTTTCATTGTTGTGGCTCTGTGTATAGAGTTGCGTCGAGCAACAGTACCTGTTTCAGAATCGATTAGCCCAAAGAACGTAAAAGTACCAGAAGTATGTGAGACCTACCTGGCTTTCCGTAGACCGTTCCCATCGGCTTGATATCAAGTGACAATGATGCTGTCATTTCTTGCTGAACAGTGCTATTGCATTGCTTGCCAGAACGATCGATCAAACGGCTCTTCCACTCCAATTCTTCCTTTGCAGAGCATGCGCTGACTATCATTTCGAAGAGTTGAGAGATGTGCTCGAATACAATCTTCCAGGAATGGGGCGCCGTGTGACATTGTAAGCCTAGGTATTCCATGTCAGAATTTCTGTGCAGAGCAATGGAGCTCGGAGAAACCAAGCGAGAAGAATAGCTAATACCTTTACCGTTATCAACATCCTCAACAGTGAGTTCACTAATCGGAATACAAGCCTGAATAGCATAAATCTCATCTTGCGTTCCAGAAGGCTGAGCAAGAACGAAGAATTTCTCGTACATGAGAGCTACGAGGTACTGTCCAGTAATATTACGACCTGCAACCGTGTCTTGCGTCTGCCAACAAACATGAAGCACACCACACAAATGATTCTGCTCAAGCACACGAACCTTATCACGAGATCTACTTTCCGGCTGGGTAATGTTAGCAGGAGAAGGCAGTTTATTGAAATTCGAAGACTTGCCTGGCTTGTAAATAGTAGACGATCTTGCAATAGCCATGTTCTTGACATCGCAGTTGCTTTTTGATGATTTCCTGCGGCGGAATTCATCGTCTTGTGAACTTCTTTGAGTCGGAAAAGCGCAGTCTCAACGGTGGTAGAGGATTCTGGACAATCGCAGACGGGACTTTGTTCTAGGAGACGACCAAACAAAACTTCGTATCTAGCGATACGATGGATAGGCTTTGAATACTGTTAGCATTCGCTGATTCAAATGAAATCTTTCACTTACCTTAATGAAGTAATCATCAAAATGTCTTCCTTTGCGGGAGCCATTCTCTCGATTATCAGTAGAGATGATCATTTCCTCAGTTGATCGAATGGCTTGATTGAAATCTTTCCACTCATCCGTAGTTCTGTACGATGTATGGATCTGCTTCATAACCTCACTATGCATGATTCCATAAGATTCATACAAGAACAATCCCGGGATCTGCTTATAACGTGTTAGCATTTGTGCCATGAACAATAGTATGATTTCCGAACCTTTCCACAAAAGACCTTTGCAATCTCTCCCGCAACCTTCGGATCACCAATGTGTCGACCACGGCTTTCGGTAGGATTCGAAGCAGGTGCTTCGCCTAGACTTTGCCATCTCTTGTGTCCCTTGACTGGAGGGTGGCTCGGTGGATTAACCACTCCTACACCGGAAGACTTATTTGTATTAGCCACAACTGTGACGAGTTCGTTATAGAGTTCGTTATTGTGGTTCCAGATGTCCTTGAGAGTAATAACAATGGACTTGCGTAAGCTTTGTGAGAGGATGGGAATGGTGATCAGGAGACCTTCGAAGACCTAGCTAAGGATCAGTAAAGAGTGGAGTGGAAAGGATTCATTGCAACATACACGTATGAGAGCTTGAATATCATCAAGGTATGCCTTCTCGGTGGATAGAATTTCCTCAATAACACCTTGACGTTGTTCCATGCGCTTAATTACCTCCTTGTCGAGGATAAATGCCCGTGATAAGCAATTTCCGTTATCTTCAGACGCTCTTCCCTATTGGAGAATATTAGTCGTGTACCAAGTTGAAGACCGGAAGAAGATTACTTACAGCATAGGATGCTCTACTGCTGTAGTCAGTTCGTTGATGGCGAGATGACATGCCTGTTCTTGAACGTGGTGCAATGCTAAAGCTTGCAAGACTGGTTCCAACACTTTTCATGTTATTCACAAAACCATAGGAGCTGCCCGATAGAGACTTTCTGTGTCCAGGTCTCTGTGAGGCGATTGGTGATTCAAACAAATCTCCTTCAATTCTGTTTCTAGGCATGTCACAGCTGGTTGTCTTCCTATGTCCACCTCGTCGCTTGATGGTGAGTAGAAACTTTTCGAAAGGATTTGCTTGATTCGTAACTACTGGCTTTGGTTCCATTGGAATTGGACTGTCCAAAGAGAATCTAGCGTGACGAGCGGCTTTCTCATCTAGATCGTGAATGACTTGTAATCCAACTTCAGCCAGGTTGCGCATGGTGCTAGAGACTCTGCTTCCCAGACTGCTACTAGTGGAAGACTTGTCATGGCGCCTGGTGGCAGTCATTGCTGCAATGTGGTCATCTGTATATTGATCGTCTATGTCATCGAAAAATTGAGCGCGAGCAGCAGCTTTCTCATCTAAATCATTGACCACCTGTAGTCCTTTAGCAGCCAAGTTCCTCATAGTATTAGAGATTTTGTTTCCGAAACTGTTTTCAATCGCAGATTTCTCCCGATCGTGAGAAACTGGCATTGCAGTGAAAGACTCTCCCGCGCGTTGATTTTCAAAAGCTGAGTGACCGATTTCGGAATTGATATCGTAGCTGCCACTAGTTGCATATTTCTCTTGATGGTTGATGACTGGCATTGTAGTAGGCTCGTCTGCAAATTGATTTTGGATGGGTGCAGGATCAACTTCAGAATTATCGTTAAAGTGATCGTTGTTGGCGGACTGTTTTGGGTGTTTTAAGGTATCTGATTCCATTTCGATAAGCTCTCGGGGATTGATCGCTAGATCGCTGGCGGGAACAGTATCAGCGGGCTCAGAGACTCTTTCTCTGTTCCACATTAATTTCTTTACTCGAATAGGTTCCTCGATGGCTTCTTCAATAGGGCTTTCGATTGGTACACCTTCTTCGTTGTAGTAGTTGATGGTATATTTGGTGTCAAAGGTGATGCAATTTTCTGGAAAATGTCTTGCTTCGTGGACGCCTTTCGCGGGAGGATCAGCTAAACTATTTGACCACCACTTCTGTCCAAGAGCTGGGACTTCCTCACCAAATTTATCTTTGATGTACTTTGAGGTGCCGATATTTGTAGATCCGCGGAGAGATGTAATTTTCTTGGCCAAGGTATCAACTTTTTTGATGACGGAAACGGATTCGATTGATGCGTCAAGAGCTTTATTTTCCTGGTCAGAAGTTTCCATAATATTTCTTAAAAGAGAGGAGTAAAATTGAATCAAAATTGAATCAAGATTGAATCAAAAAGGAGCAAAAGCAAAGGGAGCAAGTGGAGCAAAAATGTAGATACAAAATCGTTCCAATGGACCAAGAAGGGTTTGCCAATGTAAAGTTGAAGAGCACAAGAAGATCAACTGAAGAAATCAATTCTAATATCACAATTAAATTCGGAGAAAGAGCAACTCTTTGGGTAGAAGTCAAGTTGGGAAGGTTCGAAGTGTGTTTGTTTGTTCTGGTGTGAATTTACGCGAAGGGGTAATCTCAAATGTAAGTTGAGTCTACAAGGAAAGAAAAAAAAGCTAACCACAACAACCCATCGGCCGAGTGATACAATACAAACCAAAATTGAGAATCAAAACATAAACAGAAACAATGGCCCACTACTAAACTTTCATGTTCAGTTTTGTCGCAAATTAACAATCACTAACTAGGAGTGTTGTTATAATCCCATGTAGGTTCTTTATGTATCACTTTATCATAATCAGAATCACAACACAAACAAGAACTATGTATATAACTTCCAAAAAATAGCTTTTGTAAGTTCTTATCGACTCTGTTCAAGCAATGAAGTTGGGTATTTGAAAAGAGGAGTATGGACCCTGACGACAAAAATATGTTCTGGCTTTACTCTCCCTTCACTTACCAACATGGAATAGCTTCTTTGAGATGGAAATGATGACCTCCGCTGGATCTCTCGATCCTACTCTTTGCATGCGCAAACTCTTTTATGATCATGCAAAATCGTCCCTTAGCTTGGGCCAATTTTATAAGAGCCATTCACCTGATCTCCTGGATCGGCGCCTGCCGAACTCCAGACACTTCTTTCCAAGTCTTTGATTTACTAACTAGAAGAGGTAGAAACTGCAGAGAAATTAACAAAGGTCATCAACTACACTCAAAAGGCTCTCGAGAAGCAGTCGCATTCGGCAAATTCAACGGACTACAGGTTTCGACTACCGCTGCTAGATTTGTCCGCAAATCATATCTATAGGCTGTCAACGTATCCCTCGAAACACAGCTCCAGAGACCCTTTGCTATCGATGCTGACAGTCATCAGCCATCAGCCATCACTGGCTTGCAGTAAGTGATTGGTATTGGTGGCTTTATAAATAATAAGACACCTGCTGTACGTTACCTTGCATCTACTTATACTTGAAGAATGAAAGGGCACTTCGGTCATACGACTCATTTGTTTATTCCGATTTCTTGTTGTGAGTCACAAATAATAACGCTGGGTATGCATCTGCGGTGAAGCCTCGCGATGTGGTTTACACAGGGAGTTGTCGCAACGTTTTCATCTACATATACCACCTCACAAGGGTTATATATGCAGAAGCTAAGCATCCCACTGCTCCTTAGAAATCAAGCATAAACTCTTGCAAATAAGATTCACGCACAAATAGGATAAGGGATCGATAGAGCATTCTCTTTATGTTGCTTTGTTACGATCCTTATCTAATAATCACCATGGCAATGCCTCATCCTTCTTATAGAACTTTCAATGCAACGCTCGCACGTCAGCCACCAGTATATCACCAGACAACCCTAACAACTGTTTCAACTCCCCTCCAAAGCTAAAAGATGTATTAGCAGAGTAAAGAGGGGAATTGTGAGAGAAGGAATATGCGGACCTTACAAAGAAAAAAAAGTTCACGTGGATACCAAAGATTTCGAGTGTCATAATGCATTGTTTTACTCCGCTAATATCACTACCTGGATGTTGAGATTATATTCCACGGTATCAAGGTGATGCTGCTAATCTATAACCGCTTTGATTATCAAATGCTGGCATTTACTATCATGTTAGAGGGAAGCACTAATTCTCGTTGGCGTACAATTACCACAACGATATGAAAATGAATTACTATTCTTTAGGCTTCTTGGCCTTGAGATGCGCAGAACACCCATATACAACCAATGGCTGAATGAACGGGCAAGAACGACAGGAGAAGAGAGGTATATAGAGGTATGATATGTCTCTAGACTTTCATAATGGATACACTTTTCGTCCCCGGTGTACTATGAATCAACTCTGGCATTGCAAACTTCTCATTCCTTCTTCATTACAAGAAAACTTCCACTAGCAAATTGCCATCTTTGTGTCAATGGTGCACTTCATCAATATATAACACGTTTGGAAGGAAGAAAATGTCTTATGAATTTATCTCCACACCGTTCTGTCTAAGTACACTTACAGAACCAAATCGCACTTGTGATTCAACAGCCTCATGAAGATACTCAGGAACTGAAGTTGGTCAACTGGGAGTGAATGCAGGATTGTGGAACGAGAGATTAGTCATCGTCGGAGCTCTACATTGGTTTACCCCGCCATTTTTACATAAGTTCAATGCATTGCGTCTATCATCGCAGCCTGGTCTGATATAATTCACAAGGCTGAACTGAACGAATGATCTCACTATCTTAGAGAATATCAAGCAGCAGCACAGCCTGAGATGGGATTACCTTTAAACATGGAAAATCTACATGCCCCTACGATTCCCTCTGGCCCTACATCTAGACCAGGAGCCACAAATGGAATGCAAACTGATGGCCTAACATTTTCTCAACTTCAGGGAAAGAAAGACAGTATAGAAGCTGAAATCAAAGCTCTGAGTGGTGTTCTTGACTCGGCAGGTTATACTTCAAATTTTATGAGCTTCTGCTAATGTATATCAGCATGGTGTGGACATGAATACAAGACTTTTGACTCCTGATGGTTTCCCTAGAGCAGATTTAGACGTTGCACAAAGTAAGCATTCTACTTTCATGAAAGTATGTATGATATGAGCTAATTCCTTCCCCAAAGTTAGAACTACCAGGTCACGGATAATTTATCTCAAAAACGACCACAAAGCTCTTATGAGCGTCATTGAGAAGCATATCCACGAACATTTTGCGAGACTTGCCGAAAATCCAAACACAGAGGAGCCTGTTGTCGACGAAGCTCAGGCCAGTAGAATCGTACCTTCTTTCGATGAGCCAGCACCTTTGGATCTACCATTCGCAAAGGTCAATAGTGTTGCAGCGGGAAGCCCTGCGGACGATGCTGGCCTAAAAGCTGGTGACACAATCAGAAATTTTGGTTATGTCAATCATGCGAACCATGATGGCTTGAAAAGGGTAGGAGAATGTGTACAAGGAAACGAGGGTGTATGTGTTCTATATCATGATTAAATGCTCGAAATCTTACTAATTTATACTTTTACAATAGCGCGAGGTTATGGTAAAGGTTTCAAGAGATTTGGGACGCCAAGAGCTACAATTAAGTTTGACACCACGAAGAAACTGGGGAGGCAGAGGGCTTTTGGGCTGCCACATTCTGCCATTGTAAATTAAAATTGATTACTCTTACAATATTGTGGCGTTTGGGTTCTGGTGGAATAGTTTGGCCCAATTTTTTCCATGCCAACACATAAGGTTATTTTGGGCATCGTTAGATTCAGTACAATGTTAGTAGCTACCAGCAATACTTTCTGTGTATCAAGGTCAAGCTAGATAGCCTGGGATAGAAACGACGAGATGATCTTACATCTGATAATTAAGGCGGATGACCAGTAGCTTCTCGGTAGCTTCCTGAAAATACTGTCATAAAACGTATGCTTGTTACTATCTTGATACCTGGTAGGCGTACAAGTGAACAAAGCCGAACAATGAAACTTTTGATATCATCTACATACCAAGAGGGCTCGTAATACTGCCTAGAGGCTTCGAATCAGATGAACTCAAATAACAATTTCGAAACAAAACAATTTAATGTGATAATTCACAAACTGCATTCAAACATTCAAAAATTTCATTCCACTTAATTCCACTGTTCCAAGATTTTGACATTGGTTGACGGTGAATGAATGACAGAATAATAACGTGACTTCTATCAAAAATACATTTTTCGCTTACATAAAGTCCGCCCACCGCTTTCTTCTCACTAAAGTTTTGGTCTTGTAGCAATCAAAACATTCTCACATCCTTGGAGACCAAATCATACTCCACCACGTCCACGACGAATTTTCAACGATAACAGGTACCCCTCCTCCTCTACAACTCTTCTAGTCATCAAATTCATTCTCGCATCAACAAATTTACATTTGCGCTGACTATTTGATCAACAGTATCGACCCGTGCCAGATCTGTTTACCTAAATTTCTACCTACCGAAAGCATCAAGAAATCATGGCGGAGACTTCTGCTGCACCAACAACACCAACCTTCAAGCTCGTGCTTGTCGGTGATGGAGGAACTGGCAAGGTAAGACAGTCGAACTTACGGATGATCATATCGCTCTCGTCGTTGTCTAGTTGTTGAGTTGGATATCATTGTCGCGAAATTTGCGCCTTCATTCCAACGATAGAGGCGTCGTAGCATCTTGGATCAAAGGCTAATCATCAAATAGACTACCTTCGTCAAGCGCCATTTGACTGGTGAGTTCGAGAAGAAATATATCGCCACTCTCGGTGTCGAAGTTCACCCCCTTGGATTTACTACCGTATGTTGCGAATTCCCCACCTTGGCCCAAGGCAAGGTTGACTAACACTCGCAGAACTTGGGAAACATCCAATTCGACGTCTGGGATACTGCTGGACAAGAGAAGTTCGGAGGTCTCCGTGATGGATATTACATCAATGGCCAATGCGGTATCATCATGTTCGATGTTACTTCCCGTATCACATACAAAAACGTTCCCAACTGGCATCGTAAGCTCCTTCAAAATCTCGTGTTGGAATGGTCTCAAAACTAATTCTCCGGATAGGTGATTTGGTTCGTGTTTGCGAAAACATTCCTATTGTTCTTACCGGAAACAAGGTCGATGTCAAGGAACGTAAAGTAAAGGCAAAGACCATCACCTTCCACAGAAAGAAGAATCTCCAATACTACGACATTTCGGCTAAATCCAACTACAACTTCGAGAAGCCTTTCTTGTGGTTGGCCCGCAAGCTCGTTGGTAACCCAACTTTGGTACGGACACAACTATTTCCATAATTTCCAAAGTAATGTGACTAATATGTATCAGGAATTCGTTGCTGCACCAGCATTGGCACCACCAACTGCACAAGTCGATGAGGAGCTCCTGAAGGTATACCACAAGGAGATGGAAGACGCCGCTGCTATGCCACTTCCAGATGAGGATGACAACGATTTGTAAATCGACCGCAATAATGTCCAGAGGACCTTCGATCAATCAGCAGCATCTTAGATAGTTCTTTTTCTCTCGGTGGTATTTGCATTTCTCCTGTCGATCGGTTTTGCGCATAGAGGCAGATGACGCTCTCTCGTTTACTCGGAGCAGGGACATCACAGGCCAAGGGGTATGCTGGGAGGGATGGATTGGGAATTTTATGAGCGACGAACATCTTGAGATAGAATTAATTCTCGAGATATCACTGCCATTGGCAGCTTATGTAGCTAGAGCAAAAAGCCATTAGTTCTTTTGATAGACAACTTTATGAACTCAAGGGCTTGTAAGGCCATAACGAAAAAAAGTGGTTAAATTGTGATTGGATACGACCGGGAAATTGAATTTTTTTTAAGTATTACCCAGCCTCCCAGACATGTATTGTCAGCATATCTTATCATTTGCCAATTTCCAGACAAGATACTTTCCATATCAGCGGTCAGACTTAACTACTAAGCCATAGAAGGAAGCTCGGATCTCGATCTCTAAGCTCTTATTACTACCTAACCCTCATGCTTTTTACTTGCTTGTCATCGATTTTTGGTACCGAGTTGACCTTAAAGGATATGACGATATACTCTTCGCTGTTTTCGCCAGTTGTATCCCTGTATGAGATGCAGTTCCCAACAGAGATGCTTCTCCGATATGAGAAATCCACGGATATTGCACTTAGATACCCCAGCCAACAAACCCCGCACCACTTCTTATCGTGTATAACATTATACCAGGTTGAGCGAAGGCTAACAAGTTTGTTGAACATAATTGCCCAATGAATAGTTTCCGAGCCGATTTCTCCGTGTGTTCCAGGTAGCGTCTACCGAAAAAAAAAGGTTGTTATTCATTTGTCTTATCTACAAACCCTATCCTACGCAATGCAGTTCCAGCAAGATTCCTAGATTATCCTTGAAGTACAATCGTCACTCGATCTGCAATAGGATGAGGCGGCTACTATTCCTCGTATTCCGAACTCGATTTAACTCCTGCTTGAAATATGACAAGGTCTGAATGTTGCTCATTCAGTGGAGTTGATGCAGGCGTTTTGCATAGTGATAATGAGCTAAAACACATCAGGAAGGACGTTAAGATTTGCGATGTTGAGGTGTTTTCGTGTACCTATAAGTATTGTACACCCAAGTCTGTTCATGGAACATGATGATGATATCTTCGTTGAATATACTCCTTTGTATGAACAATGATTTCCCCAATCACAGCAGGATTAGCATTGTTCACAGTGGTGAACGGTGCCAAAATCACCCAGAGGAATGTACAAGCTAGTCTGGCAGGCCGAGGCGTCCCAGCAAATGCAACTGGGGTAAAGACTCTGGTTACACCTCAAAACATAACAATTCGTTACAAGGAGCCTGGAAAAGAAGGCGTGTGTGAAACTACACCTGGTGTGAACTCGTACTCGGGATACATCGACCTTGATGCGTACGTTCTTCTTGAAGCCTGACATTTGAAGTATTGTAGTCCCAAGATGCTAAACTTTCTTAGCAACTCACATACCTTCTTCTGGTTTTTTGAAGCTCGAAACGATCCTGCAAATGCACCAGTCACTTTATGGCTTAATGGTGGACCCGGTTCTGATTCTATGATTGGTCTCTTTCAAGGCATGTACCACCATGGAACACCCATTGGAAACTAGCTGACCTTGCCAGAATTGGGGCCTTGTAATGTTACAGCAAACCTCACTACCGAATTAAACCCTTATTCGTTTAGCGAGTATTCGAACTTACTGTTCCTTTCTCAACCTCTGGGCGTTGGCTTTTCGTATGGTTCTGAAGGCGAAGGAAGTTTGAATCCATGTAAGTAGCTCGACAAATCGTTCATGAAGACGTACTAACTTGGGAAACAGTCACCGGTGTTTATGAGAATTCTTCATTTGCTGGAGCGCAAGGAAGATATCCTATCATCAATGCGACAGCCCTCGACACGACAGATTTGTCGGCTGTAGCCGCTTGGCACGTTCTGTAAGAAACACTTTTTTCTCTGCTGAAGACATAGAGACTGGCTGCTCATGTTTCAATTTTTGGGATCTCTCATCTCTGTTATCTTCAGTCTTCTATAACAGTTGTAATATTTTCATCGTCCTAATGTTTCACAGGCAAGGGTTTCTTGGCGGCTTGCCCCAACTCGACCCAGCTGTCAACCTCACCACGAAAAAGGAATTTAATCTATGGACAGAAAGTTATGGGGGTCACTATGGTCCAGCTTTTTACAAGTACTTCTACGACAGAAATCAGGAAATTGCAAACGGCACTATTGCAGGTATCCAACTAGAATTTAACACCCTTGGTGTTGGTAATGGAATCATCGACGAATATATCCAGGCACCCTTGTAAGTCATGTCACCAATGTTTGTGTGTGCATCGAAGATCTACTAATCATGTAACTGATAGTTATCCCGAATTTGCGGTGAATAACTCATATGGCATCAAGGCTTATAACGACACAGGTATTCAAACCACTACCAAACATTCGTTGACTATACTGACTACAATAGTCTACAACTTTGCAAAGTTTGCTTTGAATATGGGCAATGGCTGCCTTGACCAGATAGGTCTTTGCAGAGCAACAAACTTGACATCCGCTGCAGATCAAGCAATCTGCACTGAAGCCGAGAACCTCTGCAGAGACACAGTGGAAGGGGTCTACTATACGTATGGAGGGCGGGGAGCCTATGACATCAGACATCCATATGGTCCGTTCGCCCATTTTGATACGCTCCTCAATTTCTTCTCCATACGATTCAAAGATTACATTGACATGAAGTTGAGCTAACCACATTTTCAGATGATCCAACTCCACCAACATACTTTCTTGATTACCTCAACTTGGCCTCTACACAAAATGCTCTAGGAGTAAACCTGAATTATAGCGAGGACGCCAATGAGGAAGTTTACTACGCATTCCAACAGACTGGAGATTTTGTCTATCCCACTTTCTTGGAAGATATAGAATATTTACTGGCAAACGACGTTAGAGTATCACTATTTTATGGTGATGCAGATTATATTTGCAATGCAAGTTTATGCCCAGATAGTTGATTCGTTACAAGAACCTAAACTAACACGAACAAATAGTGGTTTGGAGGAGAAGCCATTTCCTTGGCCGCAAAGTATACTCACAGCGCTGAGTTTGCGGCCGCAGGATATGCTCCATTCATCGTCGATGGAACAGAGTACGGAGAAGTAAGACAGTATGGAAACTTCAGTTTCTTGAGAATCTATGAAGCAGGTATGTCATATCTCCCTACACTTAAATATGATCAAGATTTGATTCACTGACTGACTCTTACGAAAAGGTCATGAAGTACCATACTACCAGCCAGTAGCAAGTTTGGAGTTCTTCAGACGAACGTTACTTGACCTCGACATCGCGGAAGGAAAGGCAAGGGTTGCCAGTAACTATTCAAGTCCGGGTACCGCTTCAGCTACTCACACTGAAGCTTTTGTTGCCTTACCGTCATCTACATCAGGATCTAGTACAGCAGCAGCTCTACCAGATGGATTACCCAACTGGTAAAGACGGAAAAGTATTCCTGTTTAAGAGTATATTTACCACTAAGAATCCCTGTCCTGGATCGGAAAGTGCATGCAGGTCACGTGTTGACGATCAATCGTTCGTCATGTAGCAAATATAGATGTATTATCAAGACTTTATTGAACTATGAAAATTGATTGTGAAATATTGACAAACCTTCAAAGTTCTGATCAATTGAATTTGAACTGCATAAAACATTTAAATTAATTGGTCATACTTCGTGATGATAACATTATCTGTTCCGGGGTAGATGTGGAAATTCCTTGGATTCTTTAGATTCTCGCTTGCGTCGCGGTTCCCCAAACGCGTCGACCTCAACTCATGCATACAAATCTTCCTCCTCTCATTCCTCATCCCTCCCAATTCAGTTTATCCACACGGGAATTGGAATTTTTGTTATTGAGAATTTATATTCTATAACACATCCTTCAATTACATATTCATTTGGTATGAATAATCATTAATATGGACGACGCGACTCTACCCCCGATACCTCCACCCCGCTCTCCCTCACTAACTCTCCCTGAACATATCCCTCAACTTGATTCTGGGTCTGGCCCCCGGAGCCTACCTGAAGTAGAGAAGGAACGCCCGAATTACTCAGACAACAACGGAGATTTAGAGCCCGCCAATTCCTCACAGGACGTTGCTGCATTTGTTCCCCTCAAGGAAGAGGCCCCTGATAATGAAGGGAAATTGGAGGGTGGGAAGCAGAAAAGGAAACGCACCAGGTATGCAGGATTATGTCTTTTATCTGTATTTTGCAGGCCTTTTTTTTCGACACTTTTGGCTTGAACTTTCTGTTTCCATACAAAATGTTATATATTATACGAAGTATGGTGTGCTGATGAGTTGATTTCTGTAGCCCCGAAGACCAAGCATTTCTCGAAGCCCAGTACAAGGAAAACCCCAAACCGAACAAAGCAGCGCGTGCAGAAATAGTCAAAAGTGTTAGATTGAACGAGAAGGAAGTTCAGGTATGGCTACCGCCGAGTTCTATTGTACTATATTACAAGACGCGTCCCGACTGACTAGTCACTTCCCATAGATATGGTTCCAAAATCGTCGCCAAATCAATCGAAGAAAGTCGCGTCCACTTCTTCCACATGAAATTGCAGCCTTTGGTCTTGGTCTGAATCCCTTGTCTTCTGATCCTGCATCTATAGTCAACTATAGTAGCAGCCAGGAAACAGATGAGCAAGCCGAATCATCACTGCCAAACGAGGCTTTAAGAACACTTGATAATCAGGACGAATCTCGAATTTCACAGGACGTTGAGCTGTTAGCACCCGAAATAACATCTACAATCAAATCTTTAGAGAAAGTTGCGGAAGGTACTCAAAAGCTTCCGGTAAAGACCGAACTCAATTCTTTAGTCTCGGAGACACCCAGCAAGGAAACTCGCTCTCAATCGGTTTCGGAATCCCTATCTCAATCATTTTCCGCTACACCTGGATACCTGGCCAATCGTTGGAATAACGTGAACCCATTCTCAACCCCTGTTGCTGCTCACAGTGCCATGTTCACAACTCCCACCATGTATGCAATCCTAATTCTAAATCCTCCATCGCGAATGAGCTACTGACAAAATATCTCCAGTTCTCGACCAATCTTCCCATCGTCTTGCCCTGAAAGAATCACAACAGATACTACTCCATCTGCTACATCTCGAGTGCGTCTTTCAACTGGCCTTGATGGTAGAGCAGAGTTAGTCGAAGGAGAAATCACCCCTCCCCGCCCACATGCCGAACGGCCAACATCTTCATTGTCTAGCGTCATTCCACTAAAGCGAATGCGAAGCTTATATCGCAGCCATAGTGCCCTGCCTCTCGGATCTTCATCCTTTAATGGCCCTTACATGCCTCGTTTACGGAGTGGCCGCTCGCGTGATGCACGGACTTGGGAATTTTGTGCCGAAGGAGAGGCTCGTGACGAACTCACCACTCAGGCGGAAAATGAGTCCAGTGGTTCAGCAATCGCAGCTATTAGTCTTATCCGCTCGACTAGCAGCAGTGCTTTAAACCCCAATCCTAGTAAACGAAACACACTATCTCGACCGAATCTGCAAGGGAAGAGACCTAAATTGGGGCGCGCATCGTCAAGTGCTGCGAGGATGCAGAGTAGTATCAAGAAAGCCAGAGAGCCTATTAATGATAAAGATCCGTTGATGAGATCTCCATCAGGAGACTCGGACAAGGAGAATTGGGTCCCGTCTCAAAGTGGCGTAAACCCACGCCGGCGGCCTGCTCATATCCAAAAGGAGAGTGACAAAGAAGCGAAAGGAATCCTTCAAGACAATCCTAGCATCCCTACTCACGCAGACTTTGACGTCAACAGAAATAAGCGAAGAAAGAGCGCGCATTCTGAGCCCCAGGTTTATGAGGATGCAGAAGCTAGTACAAAGAATACCAAAGCTCCCGATGATGATGTTCAAAATTTTATGCAAGCTCCGGTGAGCCCGAGCAAGAAGGATGATGTCGATTGTATACAAGGGCTTCTATCATTGAGTCAGGGAAATTGGCGATAATCAGGGCTTTACGGGGTCAGCGATACGAGAAATGAATGACGATAAGGGGTCTTACTGGAGCTTGGTTGGTTGGGTATTGGTCAATTTTTGGAAAATGTAATAAAATTGGTGTAACATTGTGGTGTGGTGGTGTATGGTCAACTATTGTGGGTTCCACTAACATTTGGAAGATCCAAAAATGTTCAATTAATTGAAACAATTTTATTTTAAAGATCTGGCAGTCTGCTGGGCTTGTCCTAAACTTTTCGACTCTTCTCTTTTTCAAAATATGTGCAATCAAACTTGTCGGAGACTAAATCGCTAGCTCATACATTGTCACTTAACACCTTGGAAGTCATGATGAGGAATCCCCTGTCCACTCAATTTAAGCGAGCACAACCCTTCGAGTTGTATCAAAACATATACTATCACCTGATCACCTTCAGACACATATTATTGCTCTCAATTGATGTATCAAATTCTATTGACATTACAATAGGACTTTGTTAGTCATCTTTGATTCACTGCATTTGGTGTGTACTTCTTAAATTTGCTCCCAATTTCTCTCTGGCCCCGTGCCAGTTTCTCCAGCTCAACAACCACATAATAACCTTTTGAATCCTCAACCAGCTTCAAGTTAATAGAACAGCCTCTACGTTCTTGAAGACAACAGAAAATCGCACTTTCAATGGAACAAATTTCTGCTACACAGACACCAATACAAGGATTTCAGGCTCTTGATTCTTACATTGATGTTGACTTTGCTCAGCTTTTTTATACTTCTATTTCTATCTCTAACGACAGACTCAAGTTGAAAGGGATAGCTGACAAATCTGGTCCAGGTTTTCATAATGTTAATGGGAAAAGAACTGGCATTTGTGCAATTGCAGAGCACAAGGCTGTTGATGATGATGATGAAGTTGACCCTCTGACGGTCAACACAAAGCCATTCATGCTGACACCAGAACCTTCATCGCCCAGCTCCAGATCTAGTTCCAGCTCAGAATCCAGCTCCACATCCACAAGCACAAATTCAAATCTGAAAGTGGAAAATACAGCTCAGACTGCAGTCGTCTCTAAAACTGTTCACCAAATGCAAGCCTCTGATAGCACTACTGCGCCAGAAATCAGTAGTCTTCAGCACCCAAGTTACAAAGGAAAAATCTGCAATCAAGGTAAAACTGCCACCAGTCTGACCACTACTTCAGCAACTCCAATAATCGTCAGTCCAACAAGCCGTATTGAACTCCGCGCACTCTACGAGAAGTATCCCGACATTTGTCCTAAACTTCCCGCACCACCGCCAGCCTTCTTCAACCGAGATCTCAATCAACAAACATACTTGAAATGCGTACGATCACCCCCAATCACACCGCGCAAATATGGGCAACCAGACTCCCGCCGTCTCGCCGAGTCATTCGCATCCAGAACACCACTCCCATCTAAAATTCACTTGCACCCCCGAACGGTGAAAGAGAGCTTGAGGGAATGGTATGGGATGGCTGGGTTTATGGCCAAGTGTCGCCGCGATGAACAATTCAATCCTTATCCACATCTGGATTTGAATGCAGGATGGAATCGCGCACGAGTTCAGGGAGAACAGTGGCATGATAATTTTCATCCGTGGCAGAAACCGAATAAGAAGATTTTGGAGGTGGTTCAGTTGCAAGAGCAGCTTTTGAAGTTTTCGTGGGGTGAACAGGTGGATTCGATTGTTGTTGATGGAGGGTTGGCAGAGGGTGTTTTTGAGAGGGTGTTCGAGGGCGTGGATGCGGAGAAAGAGAGGATGGCTGGATGCGGACAGAAGAGAATACCAGGGGCTTGGTGGGCGCAGAGAAAACGGATTTTTTATGATTTGAAGGGTAGAGGGTTTAGGGAGGAGGTCCATATCAAGAATTGTCAGATTTGGGATGGGGTAAAGGTATGGGCTGCAAATGAGATTGACGCAGAATACGGCAAATTGAAGCGAAAAATCGATGTCGTTGAGAAAATGGCTGCGAAAGCAGACGATATGGAACAAACCCAAATTGAAGAAGCTATTCTCAAGAGACACAAAGCCCGCCATCGAATCATACAAATCATGAGCGCCACCTGGCGAGCCAAGCGACGAAGTCAGGAAAAGAAAGCCGGTCGATGGACCGACGGAACACCGTTGCAAAACCGCATGTGGGCTGAATTTCACTGGGTTTTAGATGCGCCAGACCATCGTGATCGGCGATTTTTCGATACGAGGGATTGGCCGCGGATGTTTGCTGAGAGAGGATGGCCGGGAGTTTCCGCGACGAGGGTTTGGGCGGAGTTTTATCATGGGTGGGGTCCGTTGCAGAGTTGGCTTTATTGGTATACGCTCCAGGCGCAGAGACAGCGTGTGATGTTTAGGGAAAGGGAAGGACGGCAGAGAAGGCAGAGGCAGTGGGCTATTGAGGGGGGAGGCGAAGTTAGGCTTCCGGATGCGAGGTCTAGGTATGTTGGGAACACTGGATAAGATAGCGATGGGAATGGGAATTGGATATTCTGGTGCTTTGAGGGATTCGAAATTTTTGGGGTAATGCGATGATCGGAATTTTCCTGATCATTTGGAACATTTATACTCTACGAAGATCTTTAATATGGTGTTACAATTCCAGCAACCTAAAGTTCCTCGTCAAGTGGGAGAATCGTAGGTTCGAAATATGAAACGAAACTTATGGTATAACGGATTGGAGGAGAATTGCGGTATGCAAGTTCCGTTTCTCAAGTTCTATTAGTTGGTTGACAATCTTTGCTTTGATATCACTCCGTAGCAATTTAAGAAAGCCTATTTATTCTCTAGTAGCGAAGCAGTGAGTGATATATATAACGATGAAATTGTTGAAGAGAAAAAGGCATATTGCGTGGCGTGCTTTCTTGACTGGCTTGCACACTTCATTAGATAAGATCTCTACAACACCATATCTGGAGTCGATGCTAGTTGTCATGAATACTGCTATTGATGCTACTACTATCATGGTGGACGGTCATGGCCTGTATTAATGAGTCCTCAGGTAGAACAGTAGTCAGATTTCTGGGCAATCTCTCGATATCGAAATCCATGCACTCTAACGTCACTTGCTTTGGCTTCAAAAAGAAAAAAAATCTGAAGTCCCAGCGCATTTTTGATTGAACTGACTTCTTCCCCTGGATACCTTGGAGAAAAGTAAAGGAGAGAGAAGAGAAAAGAAGGAACGAAGTCGCTGAAACTTTCAGTTCCACCGCCGCTTGTGAGTGTTAATTGTGATGTTAATCCGCTTAGACTCTGTTCCCGAGGCCATCAATGATTCGTAGACGGAAGTTTGATTCGAGGCAGAACGATTACTTGCCTCTGTCTTGGAGACCAAGATGATGTGAAATGGGTAATTTAGGCATATGATGCAGTAGTGATACATGTGAAAAGGTATCGAACAACCATAGTCTATTGAATAACTGACGGGTAACTCAAAGTTTTATCATAGAAATAACATTCAAGCAGCGGAGCTGTTCGCACTTTCCTGAAGTAAAATTCTAAATAAACCCTTTATATCTTCCTTCTACAACTAATATTCCTGTATTTCAAAAGGAAAACAGTTTATCCATATCATCCCTCCAATTATCAACTATCGATTACCAACCATGGGGAGAGGAAATTTTCAAAGACGTAAGGGGAAGAGCCACAAGAAAATCATGCCAGGAGCTTCTTTGAAAGGCCATTTAATGGCGAAAGGTTTCAACGCTGCAGCAGTGAGTTCCTAGTGAGAAGCCTTTACTCACTCATTTGAAGCTGATGGTGTTCCAGGCGAAACAAACCTTGAAAGTGCAAAAGAAACACTGCAGACTCGTGAATGAGCGTACCGATGTGAAAGTAAATGAGTCCAAGCCCTCCAGCCAAATTTCTCGTTTTGAAGGAGTCTAATCATTTCCAGTCTCAAAATTGGGCGAATTCTATTCGTCCTCAGAAAGAAGCGTGTTTACTCCTCGATCTCCAGCCAGAAGTGCGTTTAATCATCTGGGAATTTTGTATTCTCAATCTTCGTATGTAGAATCCTCTTTTCCCAGTATCTCAAAAGATGCGGGCAAATACATACTGACAGTTGCAGCTGGCGGCCGCGAACCTATCACAGTAGCGATTTCGCAACCGCAATTTAATCGAGACCGGCATGTGTTTGAGGGCCGAATCCCTCCACGTGGTAGCAAGAAATTCTACGCACAAAAACGAGCCTGCTCTCGCCAAAAGTTCGTCGATCAAGCACACCCTAGCTTTCGAGCCCAAATTTTCAATCTCTTTATGATTTGTCGACAGGCATATCTTGAAATTGAGGGCAGCTCCCTTTTATACAAGACGAAGACTTTTAGATTCCTTGAACAGATGGTCCTGTTCAGATTTTGTTTTAAAATCCAACGCCACTTTTTCCTCATACAGAGTATGGCTATCGAATATGACATCTCTTCCAGCCAGGCCTTCTTTTTTGTTATGTCTACATTTTCGATGATTTTCCATAGTCCCAACCTCAGAAAATTCAGAATGAAGTTAAGGATTCTAACTCGCGAGATTGTCAGGACGGCAGCGCCTCTCTATAAAATCAATGGCACCCTTTTTCCAAGTTATCACGCACAAGCGGTACTTCATAGGCTCTGCAACGGCCCGCATCTATGGAAGTGGAATCTAAAACCAGAAAAAGTTGATAAAATCAAGGACTTCGACATTGATGTCAGCGGCGATGATGCCTGGCCTAGCTACTTTAGATTTGGCGGAGACAAAAAGGGTTGGCACCTTGTCAGGAATCTACATGCTATGCAAACTATCGACGTGAGAGAACTTGTGCAGCGTCTCACGGAAAGGTATCCGTACTACAAAAAACGTGGGGTTAAAGAGCAAACCTCGAACCGCATAGAGGACATATGGGTTGATGTCTGCGAACCTATCCTTGTCCCAGAAACTGCACTGAAACTGTTACAAAAGAAGAAGGAGAAAGCGGAGAGGGAGAGGTTGGAAAGGGAAAAGTTGGAGATGGAGAGGTTGGAGGAGATACCGGAAGAGCAAAGTTAAGTACGGATCGTCTGAGAGCACAGCAATAATCACTTCTGCTCTTCTAGAACTACTGCAACGAATTGAGTTGGGTACAACTCATACCCATGTATTAATAACATCGGAGAACCTTTCACTAAACCGTAATTCTCAATATATTCAAGGAACCATACAGATAATTACAGATTGCTGACTCGAGATTCTGGTGATACTACACTTTCCTGGTTCTCTTTCTCGATTCTACGTCTCGCTTCTTCGTTCCCCCTTTTCCACATATCTATTCTTTTCAAATGTCCATTGTCAAACCCTTCTCTCCACCACTTCTCAAATTTCGGTAAACTTCTACCTTTACCATCCTTTGGCTCACCTGCCATTTCCCTGATGGTCTCAAAATACTCTTCAAAATCGGGATAGATAGCTGTGAAGGGTACTCCATCCCCTTTTACTGCGATTCTATCTTCTTCCCACTTCTTCTGCTCTTCAGCTGAAGGAAGAGTGATGCATCCGGCTAAAAATCGTGCTACAAGTACGGCTTGCCATTCAAATGCCTTAAATGTAAATCCTGCGGCTATAGCACCAACGAAAGTTAATGTAGGGTCTTTGCGCCAAAATATGTGTTGATACAGATTTGGAAGACGATTATTGCGTATTGTAGAATCGAGATTAGGAATGAAAGGAAGAGTCCAGGAATATCCAGTTCCAAAAATAATGTAGTCTACTTTCTCTAATTTAGACCCATCCTCAAAATGAATTGTTCGCTCATCTGTATTGGGATCCGAAGTTATGTGGGATATCGGCGGGCGTCGGAGAATATGAGGATGCTGGAAAGCGTAGTCAAAAAAATAAGGATGGTATTTGCCTCGGACAACAGAGTGAAGAGGTCGTTCAACATAATCAGCAAGAGCATAAGAAATATCAGGACCAGAGATGCTGGCGCCAACGACTACTACACGCTTCCCACGATATGTTTCTGGGTCACGCCAAGCTTTCGAATGAAGGACCTTTCCAGGAAAGTTCTGGGCAAAGGTAGAAAGACCTGGGGTTGAAGGAATGAACGGGACACTGTAGTGTCCTGCTGCTACAACCACTGCATCGAAAGATTCCGTCCACCATCTATCTTCAATTCCATTGTCAAGGGGTTTGCGCAACGTCAAAATCCATTTCGATGTCTGTGAGTCTTTATGAACAAGCTCCACAGTAGTATTGTACGATATGAGATCCGGGTATCCTTTCCGATCCACCAAATCTTGAACATATTTTTCCACCACCTTCCAATGGCGAAACGGCGAGTTTTCGCCATGTCTCTTAATATTGACCGCCGATCTTGTTTCCGGAAACGGTTCTTGAGAGAAAGACATGGCGAAAGCATCTATATTTGTTTCCAACGTAGGATATATCGAGGTATCAGAAAATCTATATTGGGTGTTGTGCGGAAGCGTGGTAGGAAGTTCGGATGGAATGAGAAGAGTCTCGTCTGGTCTGCGAGAAGCAAGTTTTTCAAAGTCTGGGATTTGTTGGACGTGATCTTTTGGATCTCCGAGCCTGCGAGGTGAACATAAGTGATTGTTCCAATGTCTTAACCTTTCAGACTTTTCGTACTCACCAGCACCCTCCAGCTTTCTCTCTTCTCTCAAAGAGCCGGATCTCATCAAATGCTTGCTCCTGAGCCAGAGCATCGAGCGCAATTGCGCCAGCTGGTCCAGCGCCGATGACTGCCACTGACTTGATGGTTGCCATTTTGTGAAAATTGCTCCTTTGATGAGTGTAAAGATAGGTATGTAGATGTCTTAAAGTTAATATCACTGCGAATTCACGGAGGGCGTATGGGGGATAGAAAACGCCCCATAGCACTCCTCATAGCTTTCATTTATAATCAATCTGCGGGGAACTCAGTATGGCGAAATTTATGTGCATATCCCCTCGCTCGGGGTTGTTTCGGTCATATGGGCCTAGGTAGATCTAAGATAAGATTAGATTAGATCTGAGACCCGTGATCTGTGTAGTCCTTCTTATGTCCATACAAAGGAATTGATTGATGTTTACTTCACTGAGACCACCAGACCAACGGGTACTGGCTTTCAGTTCTTTCGATCACCAAATGGCTTCCCGCTCAAGAAGGGCTTCTTAGATATAGGAATAGGTCACAGCTGCATTGCGTTATATTGAGGCGCACTGCTATAAGGTTATCATGTTCCATCATCTCGACGTTCTGTGTTACAGGTTACATTAAGATCATATGTTAACATAATGTCAATTGTGTGTTTTCAAGTGCTCAATTGGGTTCCTGGACTGGATTCAATTGGACGAGAATATCATGTGCTATCTGCGTTCAATATTGATAAATCGCATAGGACATACCTAGCTGAACTCCCATCGAATTCCGAGTTACACAATCTTTAGAGAATATCACCATCCTCGCCCTCTTTCTCACTCGCGCGTTCCACTTCTAAATTTGCAAGACCTCTCAGCTCCCCTTCAATCTCTTTACATAAAGTGCAAGCTTCCGCAATCCTCAACCACTCACACATTGCCAAAGCCGCATTCAATACTGCAGTTCGCGCTCCCTCAGTCCTGGCTCTTTCTTCTATACCCTCGACCAAGCTTTCTCCCCATTTATAAAGATTGTGCATATCCATGGCCGCATCCGATTCCGCTCGATGAGGTGCCATCTGATCTCTTCTGGCCTTTCTCCATAGAAATGTACTGATTACTTCGATATTGTCCATGAGAGTCTTGGAATGGTCATCATTGTATGATCTTTCTCGTCCTTTACCACGGTATGGATGATATCGATGGGCATACGAACGAGTTCGTTCGTATCTGAGACCGATATAAGAGGCATTTGGGAGAGCACGAATGTAAGTGGTGGTAGCATCTAGGCATATTTGATAGAGGGTATTCAAGAGGAAGTAGCGCTGCTCGGGAATTGATACAGGTGCAACAATTGTACTATCTGAGGCATTCGAAATGGACATCCTATCGTCCAGTGTTGATTTAGACGCTGTGTAAGTCGCCATGGTATGTATGGGGGCCCAGTCTGATGGTGAGTTATTTAGCATCATAGCAATAGTGGGAAGACAACTGCCAGAAACATGGCGTAGAGGCAGGGCACGTGAATGTCCAGCGTGGATGTCAGTTGTACGAGAACTTCCTTGGCATCGACAGTAACCCGCGTCTAGTAGGGCCTGAGAGTTTTGTCGGCTCGAGACAGGTGTGGTCATCAGACAATCCGGATCAGGATCAATCGTCGCCTCAATGGCTGGAGGGGGTTCCTGCAATACATACCCAAAAGACGCCCTACTTTCGCCTTGGAAGAGCTTACCTCTCTCAGCGCTAGGATTTCCCATCACCGAAGCCATCTGACTGCCAGACGCAAGAGGAGGATGAGGAATTGCTTGATTAGATAGGTGCATAGGATTATTGATCCCGTTTTCAATCCCTCCAAAACTCCGGGAGTGACGTAATAAATTAATCTCAAAAGGATAAAAAACTTTAGATCTCTCATCGTTGTTAAAATCCATGACGTAGAGAAATTTTCACCAGGGCAGAGATGGTACGAATGGAAGGTGGCAATGAATATTGTCAAATTTTCAAAGGAGGGTATGAGAGAGATAAGGTCTGGTTTCTCTAAGGGCAACAATTACAACGAAACATGGTGTGATTCTCGAAGGAATTATACTTAGCTGGACTGTTCTCTGGGATAATTGAAATAGGTCTTGTAATATATTATATTCTGCATGGAAAGTAAGGAACGGCAAAGAGCCACCGCGTTGCATGCTGGGGCTTTGTACACAAAGTTGCGAAACTCGTCAGTGCTTCTATTCAACTCTATTCTAAGCGTTCCAAATAACAATTCTTCCATCAACACCACTCGCTAAAAACAATTAGTTTCTCCTTTAAAGATATTGATTAAAAGAGCACTTACTAGTGAATTTACTGACACCACTTTCCGAACCTTCATAGACGCGGATAGTGCTAATGGTGTTTTGATGCACAGTTGTCAATTGTGTATCATCCTTGACTTTTCCTTTCAAGTCCATTTGCTTGAACATATTGAAAGCACTCTCCTCTCCAACATCCTTGACCGGGCCCCCTTTTGATTCCAGGGAACCAGTGAGTTGCCAGCCTCCTTCGCTACCACCAAATCGGAATGCCTCACAGTCATAGCCTGCCGCAATGATCTCGGCTTCGCCATTCCAAATCAAACTCATAAAGGGGAGAAGCTGTGTGCTGACACTGACAACAGCCTTTGGAGGTTGGTCTGCGCCATTGGGGTATACCACTGTGATGCTGCTGTCGTGCGCAGCAAAGGCCAAAGCATTTCCGCTCGGTGAGAACGATACTGCGTGAACCCATCCAGCAGAATTGTTGAGATACTCTCCGCAGACGGTGTTGAACGGCAGACGTTCTCCCCAGACTCCAGGTTCTGGCCTAGCATCAACTCCCTTAATGAAACTCGAAAATACTCTCGCATGGGCATCGGTAGAACCGGCAGCTAGGAGAACGGAATTTGGGTGCCATGCGACAGTTGTGATGGTGCTACGGATAGGCTTCTTGATGTGTTTCGAAACCCACCAGTCGTTCTCCTCTTCAAAGTAACAGATAGCAATCACCCTTGCACCGGATCCAACGGCGAACTTCGTTTCGGAGGGGGACCATCGAACAAATGTGGCCGCACGATTGATTCGGAGAAGGACGAGAGTAGGTTTATAGCCAGTGGGAGATGGTTCCCAAACCAAAGCATTGCGGTCTGGCCCAATATTATCAGAGTTGTTAAATTTAAACCGGAAAGATATGGGTACAAACCTTGGGAGCATGTTACAATTCTGCCACTGTTAGGAGCTATATCAACACTGGTGACGGTCTTGTCATGACCTTTCAATTCGTCCTTGAGCTTGAATCCCTTACCGTCTCGTCCGTAGAGCTCGACACTGGTGTCGCGTGCTACAGCCAATGTCTGTCTATCGGCAGAGAACGAGTGATCCGCAATAGGATGATGGAAAAGGTGATGAACTTCTGGACCAGGCATTTTGTTGCTTCTTGATAGGAGGAGCTCTCTACTATCACTGTAAATATGTACTTATGTTGGCATTACCGCATGGACGAGAGATGCTTGCTTGAACGTGGGGCGGGTACTCCCTACACGTCGGATTACTAACCACTTTAAGCTAGCGCAAGGCTGCGAAAGGCAGACTCTCGAAATTTATATCTATATTGATATATGCTGGAAGCACCCCAAATTCAAGACGCGACTGTTTTTCGAGTAACGACAGAATGAGTACCGCAGTAAAACCTGTCCCAGTGAGGAAATCATTCCCTCCTAATCAAACCCTTTACATTACCAATTTACCTTCGTCGAAGATTCAGAAAGATGATTTACGAAGAGAGCTCTACACATTATGCTCGACTTACGGTCCAGTCCTCGATGTCATAGCTCTTAAGTCAATGAAGATGAGGGGTCAAGCACATGTGGTGTATAGAGATATCCAGACCGCGACTCAGGCTATGAGAGCATTACAAGGATTTGAGTTTCTTGGACGTGAAATGGTTAGTTGGGAATCCTACAATTCTATTGCTCGTCTACTTGAAATGATTAAGGGCTGACAATCACCTTACTAGAATATCCAATATGCCAAATCAAAGTCAGACACCATTGCCAAGCTGGACGGTACTTTCCGTATGCCGTCTGCAGCAGCGGCTTCAGTCGTGGCCACAGAATTGCAGCAAAGCATTTTCAATGCGCCGCCTTCCGCAGCTACCACTACGAGCAATTTACCTCCCCCACCACCGCCATCAACTCTCCAGGTTCCAGCTCCTGCTTCTGATCACGCTATGGAAGATGCAACAAGCCCAAGTGCAAGTGTTGCTGGACAAAAAAGACGTCGGGATGAAGAGGAGGAAGAAGATAGTGAAGGAGATGTTGCAATGGAGGAGGACAGTGATGATGATTAGCGACTGATGATATTGCATTGAAAAGGCGTTGGGGATTGGTTAGAGGCGTATTGGCATTGGTCACACGGTTATCGACTAAAATTGATCTAAAGGGCCACGGCTCCTATACAATTCGCATATGAAGTACATCGACCTCTAATGACATGTCAGATATGGCGTGTGAACCATTTTGTATTTCCGATGCAACACAAGTATACATACCTAGCTGGTAATGTTTCAATCGTGTGATTGGTTTTGTCGGTGCATGTCCACAGAGCAAACATGAAGCTTCAATATCTATGTGATATCCTGGATCCATGTATTATATGCTCAGTGGAGACGAAACTCTTTGAGGAAACAGAACGTCAAAAGCTCTTTTCTACAGGTCTTCCTGAGCTATTTCATGAGGCATCCATAGCCCCACACAACCACCTATCAAGCCAAGCCATACCATCAAATAATTACTTGCCGGGCAGTCGAATTTCTCCATTGCCTCTCTGGTTTGACATGGATGAATGAAGAATGCCGGTACATCTGTGATGGGGTGCGGCTAAAACCTAGTTAGGATGTATTTTCGTAGCAAAATTAGCGACTTACAGCAGCGGAAATTCCACCCATAACTCCCATTGCTCGAAGTTCACTCTTGTACTCTTCTGGTACGAGATGTCGATAAACAGTATTTATGTCAAACGCAGGCTCATCATTTGGTAACTCGTGAAGCGTAAACCACAAAGTCGGTATTCTATAAGTGGGATGTAGGTGAATCTCATAAGTAACGTAAGGCTGGTGAGAATATAGACTGTATCGGGAGATGGCATCACTCCCCAGTGTCGAAGACTTGTTTATACGCAGTACCTCCTATACCATGTCAATAAGTCTAAACCTTCATGTAGTATCAACAGAAATGAAGAGAGTCACTAACGTCGTCTTCATCCTCATCCATCATATCCACCTCTTGACTCGGAGCAGAACTTGGAGCATAACCACTACTCAAATTGCGAAGAGCAAGTAATAGATCATCATCATCTTGTGGTGGATGAATCAATCGAATGATTTCAATATAGCATGACCCAGTAGTTGCTGTACGTCCCATGGACAGCTTGAGGTTCTTCCTTGCGGGCCCTAATGATGCTCGACAATATCTTCGATCAAGAAACGCGCAGGCGAGCTCAAACTCTTCTTCCGTAAGAAATGGCCACTGACGATACTCATGGCGATGTGTTGCCATCATGACTGGCTTAGCACTGGCTAGAGGGTCAAAATATTCAACCCACAAATTAATATTGGTGTAAGACCCGTGTCTGCTGTGCTTTCTGTATGTAGGTGGTTCATAAATATTTATTGAATCCCGAGTAAATCCCGTCCAGAAGAACTCTCTTCAAGTGTTAATTTGAAAATAAATTCACGCTGTAGCTTTTGCAGATTCCATAGTAGAAATTTTTAGTTGTGATAATTTATAACATTGTATCTTTTGTAGCTCATCCTTCGGAACGGTCAGATACCTACCAGCTACAGTGCTAGGCTCGCTGGCTCGGTAGACGAACTTATAAGCTCTGGTCACTGGTGATTCTAGCTATTCTCATTAGTTACCCCAGTTTAAAACAGTGGTCAGGGGTAGCTTTGCTTTTCGGTATCTACCCACTGAAGCTCCCCAGATATCTGTCGCCAGGTATGCTCCCGAATTACTCTTCGTAGATTTATCAGAGCCTACACAAATTTCCGATGATGGTTGCCCAAACATACTGGGTATAGACACAAATCTCCATTTCCAACGTCAATCAGAAGTATTGAACAGATTTGATGGTTCAAGATGAACTTGGAGATGCCAATCTAACAGGTAGGACACACCGGGGTACAATATAAGGCTGTAAATAAAGCCTGTAATTGCTTCCAAGGCTCGGTAAGTACGCCTTACGTGTACTGTTCTCTACAGAGTAGAATTCATAACTCTTAAGCCTCCTCATTTCGAAATGACACCTAATAATAACCTTCAAATATTTTAAGTTTTTTGTATCTTAGTGTTTGCTTATAGTCGCGCCTTCTAGTAATGAAATGATTTTGAAGTTTCCATGAACAGTCGCGACCCCTTCAATCTACGCCGCTCTCCAGCATTCAACATCCTTCGAGGCACTGCGACACAAGCTGCTTCAAATATCACTCAGAGAGTCAAAGAAGCAGGCGAGCAAGCTTATGAGTCTGGGAAGCAAGCTGTCGAAGAGATGTCCACTTTTTCTATACCAAAAAACGTCCCCTCTTTTACAGATCCTCAGCGCAATTTGGAAAACAAAGCTTGGGCAGCCTCTGGCATGACCGCGAGATCATCGACGGCACATACGAGTGGAGGAGTAATTAGCGGCATACAAGATCGAGTTGGAAACCTTCTTGGAGAAAATAGGGATCTGCCGATGTACAAAGACAAGCCGTATTCATATGCCTCCTCCAGGAGAGCACAACCTCTTTACAAACGGCGGCGCATCATATTTGGGTCCATCGCATTTGTGTTTTGTGTGCTATACTTTCTAGGGTTCTTTAGATCCAGTGACGAGACGAAAAAGAAATCGACGGACAGATGGACATGGCTACAGCGGCCAGAAAAGGCACCTAACTCAATCGACTGGCTAGATCGAAGGGAAAGGGTCAAGGAAGCTTTTACTTTAAGTTGGGATGCGTATGAGCGATATGCATGGGGCTATGACGAGTTTCATCCAATTTCAAAACATGGGAAGCAAATGACACCGAAAGGAATGGGCTGGATAATTGTGGACGCTTTGGATACAATGATATTGATGAATTTGACGAGCAGGGTGCAGCATGCAAGGGAATGGATTACAACTTCACTGGACTACGACCAAGATCAAGAAGTCAACACGTTCGAAACTACAATTCGCATGCTTGGAGGTCTTCTATCCGCCCATTATCTCTCCACCGAGTATCCACACTTAGCTCCATTGGCCGAGGATGATGAAGGAGCTTCAGGGGAGGATTTATATCTGGAAAAGTCAAGGGATTTAGCTGATCGTTTGCTTGGCGCCTTTGAATCTCCCTCTGGAATACCATTCGCCAGCGTTAATCTCAAGACCACCAAAGGTGTTCCATCTCATGATGACGGTGGGGCCTCATCCACAGCAGAGGCAGCAACGTTACAGTTGGAACTGAAATATCTTACCAAACTTACTGGAGAGACTGAATACTGGGAAAAGGCTGAGAAGGTGATGAAGGTTATTGATGATAATGGCATGGAGGATGGACTCTTGCCAATCTACATATACGCCAACACTGGAAACTTCCGTGGAAGCAATATTCGTCTTGGCAGCCGTGGCGATTCATATTACGAATATTTGATCAAGCAATATCTTCAAACTTCAAAAGAAGAGCCTATCTATGAAGAATTATGGGACGAGGCACTGAAGGGAGTTCGGAAGCATCTCATTACATACTCTAGCCCTTCAAAATTTACTGTTGTTGCTGAGCGACCTGAGGGTCTGGGTGGCTCTCTTTCGCCAAAGATGGATCATTTGGTATGCTTTATGGGTGGAACAATTGCTCTAGGTGCTACTGGTGGCATTACGGAGGCTGAAGCACGTAAGCTACCAAGCTGGAGCGCGAAGAAGGATGAAGAGATGAAATTAGCAAGAGAATTGACGCACACTTGCTGGGGAATGTACAAGGTGATGGCAACCGGGCTTGCCCCTGAAATCACACATTTCAACATTGATGATCCACCATTGCCAGAAGATGCACCACATCAAGCGCCTACAGATTTTGATGATCCGGAGAATCAAGAGTGGCGCAAGGACTTCATTATAAAGAACAACGATAACCACAATCTCCAGAGGCCGGAAACTATCGAGACATTGTTCTATATGTGGCGTATCACAGGAGAGGAGATGTACAGAGAATGGGGATGGGAAATGTTTAGGTCCTTCATGAACCACACAGCTGTTGGCGAAGGTGGTGGATTCACGAGTCTCTCTAATGCCAATGTTCTACCTGCGCAAACCAAGGATAACATGGAGAGTTTCTGGCTTGTAAGTACACCCTATATCCGCTTGCCATTGAAAATTTGCTGACTTTATAAAGGCGGAAACTTTGAAATATTTTTATCTTCTTTTCTCGCCAAATGATCTTCTCCCCTTAGACCAAATAGTTATTAACACGGAAGCGCATGCCTTCCCACGATTCAAGATGGGCCCATTGTTGTCGACTGGATGGAAGAGAAAGCCCAGGGGGCCAGACGGAAAGATCTTACCAGAACCAAAGAAAGAGCCCGAAGTAAAGGAAGTCGAAGTTCAGGAGTTGAAAAGTGGTGCGACATGAAGTTAAAAAAGCAAAATTGTACCTATATAATGGATGATGACTATGTAAATTCGTTGTATTTTTATCGCATCTAGATATAGGCTTTTGTATGCCTTTCTTATTATTACTTGCGGATTTGAACAATCTAAATATAGATACCATTATTGTTTTTGCGACGAAACATTCTGTCTAGTTGCATTCCAATGGTTTACAACGAATACATTGCATTGCACCTTGAATTGAACATTTCACATCCTCCATATAAAGGTCTACAATTGAAAACGTTATTGCCTCTGATAATCAATTTACTACTCAAGGAAAAAATTGCGAGCCATTGCTCTACTCCGTAAGTAGCGCAATACCAAAGCACAGAAGATTAATCTCTCAAATTTAAATCTCAAACTTAAATAATACACAGACATGTGGCCGGCACTTCACTGATGCAACTTTGACAGCTGGCTGATCGAATCGGAAGTTTTCAAATAAATAAAAATTATTTAAGCGTCGAACTTCTAGACGCAAGAAAGACTCTCAAAGTCAACAATTCCATGGTTTTCAGCCCCAACCTCTATGGACTATATCGAGGATGGAGAGCGGGATGTGTGACAACCCATATCCACCGTCCAGCTGACGGGGCCGTCGTTGTACCAATAGTTTTACAGGTCGAACACCAAGCGTTGCCCAGAAGTTGAGATATTGTACCCCTATTTTACCTACTTGGCAACGATGGTGATACATCAATAGAATGCCGTATGCCATGTGCCATTTTGAAGCGTTTGATGTTCGTTGATGCTTTTCTTTCTTCTGCTTTCTTCGGCATGTTTGTGGCAATCAGCTTGCAATTGATGAAGTTCATCCCACTACCATGATAGCTCCACAAGCCCTAGCGCCCCCATACCCCAAATCAAGCTCATCACGTCCAATCACGTCTAATCACTTCGAGCAATCTCATGCAAAAGATAAGCCTTTTACTCTCCGAGATAGCTGTGCCTTCCGGGCTCACAACTTCATCTTCTTCCTCCACAAACTCTCTTAACCAACTTTCATACTCACAGCATGAAACACGATGTTGGAAATTATTGGAAAATATGCCATACATTATCACTTGCACAACCTTTGAGCTCTAGCCAACCGGCTGAGAGCTACAACAGTTACTCTCTTGATTATTCGAGACAACTCAGCCTCACCGGCAATCTTGGTGCGGTAGATCTAGATCGACGAGCATCATTCCTAATATAGGCTGTCGACATCTCCTAGACTACATACACATCAAAACTCGAAATCATCAAGATGAATAGTTTCAGGATGAACGATATTGAAAAGGGTTCGGTTTACCCCGATAAAGACCAATCCACAACTCCGGACCATAGTAGCGGACGCGGTGAACCAAGCTACGAAGAAATAAGTCAAATAAAATATGGAATGGGGCGTCGCTTTGTAGACAGCTTTCGAAGAGATCCAAGTCTTACTATGACCCCGGCGGGTGTGGTAGGCGCAAATGGGAGAGTATTCCATGCCGAAATGGCCGCGCAAGCAACGGCCAATTCTCCTCTTGCACGAAGATTGAAAGGGAGGCATCTGCAAATGATCGCGATTGGAGGTTCAATAGGTTAGTTGCTTGACGCGCCGAGTGATTTAAGGGGCTGTTACTGAGTCGTCTTATGGACAGGTACCGGACTTTTCGTTGCATCGGGCAAATCTCTCGCAACTGGTGGACCTGCATCACTTATTATATGCTTTACACTCATCGGGCTCATGCTATATTGTACGGTGCATGCCTTGGGTGAAATGGCCGTTCTGTTTCCCGTTTCAGGGTCATTTTCGGCCTACTCGACTCGATTCTTGGATCCGGCAAGTTCATCCATTGATATAACGGGAAAGACATTAATTAATTGCGTGTTTTACAGGCTTGGGGATTTGCTATGGGATGGGTATGAGAACCCACAGATAATATGGAGACTAGCATAAAATACTAACTCCTAGCAAACAGAATTATGCAATGCAATGGCTTGTGGTTCTTCCATTAGAAATTATTGCGGCATCTATCACAATCGACTTTTGGGATATACAACAGCGATACGATCACGCTATATTTGTCACAGTATTTCTCTTCACAATTATTGGCATAAATATGTTTGGAGTGAAAGGGTATGGAGAAGCGGAATTTTTCTTTGCTATCGTCAAAGTTGTGGCTATTATAGGATATATGTAAGTCTAACCGTCGTTATATTCGATCTACGTTCTGGCCATCATTTTTTCTTTACGCTTTTTCGGAGAATTCATGGATGTTTCAACAGAAAAAAGAGCTGATTTTATCAATAGACTTTTGGCCATAATCCTCAACTGCGGCGGTAGCCTTGAAGAAGGTTATGTAGCTGGTACGTTGTGGAGTGATCCGGGCGCATTCAACAACGGATTCAAAGGCATGTGTAGTGTTTTTGTCACTGCAGCATTTGCTTTTGCTGGCACTGAATTGGTGGGGCTTGCTGCCGCTGAAACTCAGAACCCCAGAAAGTCATTGCCAAAGGCCGTGAAGCAAGTATTCTGGCGTATCACTCTTTTCTATATTGTCTCGCTTACTCTCGTTGGACTTCTCGTCCCCTATACCGACCAAAGATTGCTTGCTGCTGGAAATGCGAATACCGCTGCAAGTCCCTTCGTTATTTCTATTCAAAACGCTGGAATTACGGTACTTCCTTCTGTGATGAATGCAGTCATCCTTATTGCTGTACTATCTGTGGGCAACTCGTCAATATTCGGATCTTCTCGGACTCTTGCGGCATTAGCAGATCAGGGGCAAGCTCCTAAGATTTTGGCCTATGTTGATCGTAAAGGACGTCCTATTGTAGCTATTGGTGTATCATCGGCTCTTGGGTTCCTTGCCTATGCAGCGGATTCCGGTGCTCAGGCCATAGTTCTGGATTGGATGCTAGCACTGTCTGGACTTTCCTCAATATTTACTTGGGGATCTATTTGCCTTGCCCATATCCGTTTTCGACGGGCTTGGGGATTACAGGGTCATAGCCTGGACGAGTTAGCTTTTCGTTCGCAGCCAGGCGTCATCGGCTCGTGGATTGGATTTTTATTCAATGTCCTGATTCTTATCGCACAATTTTGGACTGGGGCATGGCCTACAGGCTATCAGCAAATGACGGCACTCGAGCAATGTGAAAGCTTCTTCCTAGCATATCTGGCCGCACCCATCGTAATTGTATTCTATGTGGGATACAAATTTTGGTATAGAACTTCTGTGATGAGATCCAAGGATATGGATCTAAAGACCGGAATGCGCGGTCTAGACTTACCAGCCTTAATAGCAGAGGAACGAGCAGAAAAGGCCGGATGGCCCAAGTGGAAACGAGTATACAAGACAATATGTTAGTTCGACTACAGGGAGTTTATGGTAATGCGGGTGGACTGGGAGTTTCTATCATAAGAGAGTTTATGTGCGAGAGATACCATGTGATTTCGGCGTTAAACAAATCATAGTGAGGGAGGATATCCATTGATTTACTGGGAACATGTTATAATACTTCAGCGAGCTGCGCGATGCTCTTTCTTGGTCATATAGAATAATTACATAAATCAGCCATCAAATTAGATCGCTGTATATCGGACATTGCCTAACGCGAGTAGTTCCTTTCCTAAAAGCTTGTATCCGCAACCAATCGGCGCGATTTCAAAGCTTTATATAAGGTAACGGGAACTATTCAAAAGCTCCAAGCTATCATTGCCTTGTTTGGCCGAGGCCTTGTGGATAGAAAGATGGGATAAATCTAGAACTACGGAGGCATTCAAATAATCCGACGCCCCGCTTGTCAACAAAAGGCGTAGGCGGGCTCCGTGTGATATAATTTTCCTGTTCTGTTGACAAATCTCAAATCTTCGTTTTCTTGTACACGATATTTGGACAGTAGTATTTGTCCCGGGCTTATTTGAGTAAGTTTTTCCATCTAGTCTCGAATGGAATGTGATAATCAGAAAGATCTGATAGTTGATAAATCGAGTAGGTGAAGAGCTAATAATTTCTAGTGAGGGGAAAAGTGGGAGTGGATCTTTCGCTGATACCCCTCCAAAACCAAACGATAGATATTGGAAATGATTGGTTCATCACCTCGGGAGACTAATGGGAATGAGGATATTAACCACACCTTCTGGTTGCTCTGTAGCTTTATGATTGCCAAAATATCCATGCATCTCCGGTATAACACAGACATCTGCGAGTAGATGTGGTTGAAAGATAAGGAAGGTCTGACGGATGCATATGGCCGACTACGTGCAGATATGTAGTAAATATATACATGGTGTTAGTCCAGCAGTCACTCATATTTTCAATCTCTCTGCTTTTCTTTTGAAGCATTATTAACATCTGTTTCGAGCGTGACTTGTCAGTGTAATAGTCACCCTGTGTGATTGAACCTTCAAGATGTTGGCCAAGCAAGCTCTTTTTATTTCTGCACTTCTGCCCTTGATTCAAGCTCAAGAATCTACATCAGAAACGGTTTTGGGTGTTTATATCTTCCATCGTCATGGAGATCGTACTACAAAATCCTATGCTCCCACATCTTTGACAGATCTTGGTTATGCTCAAGTTTATGCTTCGGGTAATTATTATCGAAATAGATATATCGATTCCAACGCCTCCTCTCCTCTTTACAAAATCAGTTCGGACATAGCCAAGGTCTCTCAATTGAATGTTCAAGCACCAGTCGATAATGTCCTTCAGAATTCTGCAGCCGGATTTCTTCAAGGTTTATACCCACCTGTTGGCGCAACATTGGGAAGTCAAACACTTGCCAATGGTACAAGTGTTGAAGCTCCGCTAGGTGGTTTTCAACTCATTCCTGTCAATGCTGTTGCCACAGCATCTAGCAGTGCCAATTCCGAGAGTTCGTCCTGGCTTCAAGGTTCCAGTGGTTGTGGAATGGCTGTTACCAGCTCTAATAACTACTTCTATTCGGAAGAATATGCGAGTCTACTCAATTCAACCAAGAGCTTTTATCAGAGCCTTCTCCCTGTAATCAACACCACTTTCAATTCCAGCACGGATACTTTCAAGAATGCATACACAAGTAAGATCTAATTGCCCCAGTATGCTTTGTGTATTGCTAACAGATATAGTTTATGACTACATTCACGTCTCTACCATACACAATTCGTCTATTCCTTCCGAGGATCTTCTCACGGATGAGACACAGGCTCAATTGCTAGCCCTAGCCAACACTCACGAGTTCAACCTCGCATATAATGCTTCGGATACCATTCGTGCAATTGCAGGATCTACATTGGCAGCTCAGATGTAAGTTCTTAGTTCATCATACCTCACTCAAGATCATCAGATGAAAGTGCACATCCGTCATTCTCAAATCAACACGATTATTACTCTATCATCTCCAAACCCACCACAACCTAACCGAATCAACTAACACACGCCAGTCTCCAACAACTCAACACCACCATCACCGGAAAATCCGCCGTCCCCGTCTCCATCCAATTCGGCGCCTACGCCTCCTTCCTCTCCTTCTTCGGCCTTTCCGGACTCTCCACCCTCTCCCCAAACTTCACCGGCATCGTCGACTACGCCTCCTCCATGACCTTCGAACTCCTCACCAACGCCACCGTCTCCAATACCTCCTACCCCTCTCCCTCCGACATCTCCGTCCGCTTCTACTTCTCCAACGGCACCGCCTCCGAAAACCCTCTCCATTCCTACCCTCTCTTCAACCAATCAGAACTCACTCTCCCTTACACCACTTTCGTAGACGAAATGAACAAATTCGCCATCGGAGATCAAGATGCCTGGTGTACCGCATGCGGAGAATCAACAGGAGATTGCGCGTCTTCTACCGCTTCATCGTCTTCAAGCTCGGGCTCGGGCTCCGGCTCCTCGGGAAATAGTAATGGAAATGGAGGAATGTCGAAAGCGGTAGCGGGGGTAATTGGCGCAATGGTTACGTTAGCGGTGGTGTTGGGTCTTGAGGCGTTGGTTTTGGTGGGAGCGGGATTGAGGGTCGTGAGTAGGAAGAGATTGGGTGCGGGGACGCAGGCGGTGGCTGGGGAGCAGGGGGAAAAGTAGGAGGGGGTGAGTGATGGAGTGAGAGGGGGAAATGAGATAGGGGAGGGGGAGGGGGAGGGCTAGGTAATGATAATGAGGTTATGAGGAATATGAATTGAGAGTTGAAAGTACTCGTTCATGAGGATGATATGAAATGATAATTACAAAGCTTAAATTATATCCAGGAAATGGATTTATATTGAGTGTTCTGCAATCGATGTGAGAGCAGGATTCTATGCGTTTGCCCATCACAAAATATCACCCATCACCACTCAAAAATGACCCTCACAATGATTTTGGAACTCTAACTTAGACTACAATTTATTATAATATAATTATTCATTGAATGTGTAACCCTATTTCTATCTATACCTATACAAACAAGTAGTATCCATCTATCCTACTACTCTCGTATACCCATACCCATAATGCACGAACCCCGCGTGATTTTCGTCATGACCCATCCTATGCAACAATGCAACAGTACAAGAAACAACCAACTCCAAATAAATGCCTCATCAGACCATATCTTCCAAAAAAGGCGCTCAAACCACGTAACGCAACGCTATGCAAAAAACCCCAAATCCGCACCAAAACCCACTAATCCAACCCCTCTCCATTCAAAATACTTTTCAAAATCCCAGCGCCCAATCCCTCCACCGCAGCCGCAACCTCTTTCTCCCCAACACAACTCGCCACTCTCTTCTCATCTCCCACTCCCACACCGAAACCAAATCGTCCGGGTCTACCTCTCGCTCTCACTCCCCCATTCAACACAAACGAACCATTTCTTCCATCGACCGGCGCGACTAATGATAGCGTCTCGAGACTTCCAACCACATCTCGGAATTCCGTGCTCGTTAAAGGATGTAAGATGGCGTCTCGAGTACAGAGCATGTTGTATGTGTTATACAATTGTTTGATGGTTGGGGCTAGGTTATGGGATTTCGATGGTGTAGCGAGGAGATTGGAGGATTGAGAGCGATTGCGTGATTCGAGGGCGAGGAGAGCGCAGAGAGCGGCTTTTTGTTGGAGGTTGAGGGTTTTGAGACGTTGGGTTGAGCCATTTCCGAAAGTAGATGCGGTGATCTTGTTCACGTGTTGGATACTGGCACGGGGGGCAGTTTCCACAGTGAGGGTTGCGAGGGATTGAGCTAGGGTTCGTGGACGGAAGATATTTCTGCTGGGGGTGTTTGTCATGGAGGAGAGATTGATGTTGTCTTCTAGAATTCGTTTGGAAGGGCTATCGAGGAGAATCTTGTCTTTGAGTTCTTGTTCGTGCTTTTGCTTGGTTTCGGTCTCGATTAAATCGATTGCTCTTCGGCAAATGTCGAAGGCTTTGCGTAAATCTCCCGTTTGGCTTGCTACTTTTCGGGAGCAAAGTTCAATGGCTGCTGGGTGGAGAAATGGTACGTAATTTGGAGTCGCACTATCTGCGGGAACAAGTGACTTGAGGCGTGTCATGATGACAGTCTTGATCTGTAATGCGGTGTATGGAAGAAAAGGTAGTAATTGTGGTTGTAGATTCCGGGCCTTTAGTCTTGGTAAGAAACGATCCGTAAGATCCAATGCGTTTGCAATTCCGATAAGAATCAGGCGCGATGACTTCTGTAAAGACCATTCGAACAGCTTGTATAATATCTCCAGGTCCAAGGTGAGGATGTGATCGATTTCGTCCAGCGTGATGAGGTAGACATCCTTCGTCTTTTTCCTCGAAACAAACATATCCTGCAAAGTCTTCTCTTCATCGCCGTCCAAAACCACTTCCTCACCACAGTAAGACTCCAGCAGTATACCATACAAATCCTTTGAGGTTTTCATGCTCATACAGTTAACATATGTCTTGTGTAATGTGGTCGATTGTTCATATTCCGTCGTAACTTCGTTGATCATAGCACTCTTTCCAGTTCCGGGAGGGCCGCTAACATATATACATCCTCCACTTGTTGTGTCGACACAATTTTGTACAAAAGTTTTCAACTCGCCCTTTTCAGTCTCTCTTCCAACAAGTCGTCCAGGTTCTGAGCTCCGTGTGAACATCTGTCGAGCTTGAGTATATACAGTCGCAATTGATCCACTGGGTGTTACAGGAGTTCTTGGAGTTCTAGGAGTCATTGACTTTCCAGTAACAGTGACACGATGTCGAGGGGTGACTTGTACTTTCTTGGAGAGCGCATCCCGATGTCGAGGCGTTTGAGGAGTAGGGATTTGGACCGTTTTAGATGCTTCTTCTATCAATGTTTTTTTTGGTAATGCAATCTTTCTGCTCGCGAGTCCATGTTTCGCAGGCGAGGACTTGACAGGTATAGATTCCGACAATTCATCAATGTCCATACAATCGTCATCGGAATCGGCGACCTCATCGCGCCTCTTGCGAGTAATGAAAGGATTTTCATTCTCATCATTGTATATTTCTGTTTTTGCTTGTCGTTTTGCACGCGTTGATGGTACTTTGAACTCTGTAGAATAAAGGTTAGATTGTTATTTAGATGTCTGCGAAATGATCCTTCGTACCTGCTATTGCTCTTGTGCTACGGGTTCTTTTTCCTAAAACAGAAGGCATAATTGAAGGTGTCGATATCTCTCTCTAACTCAATTCAAGTGTGTTCTTTCTTATTAATCACGAAGAGTTTTACTTGGAGTTGAGAGAATTGAGGAAGTTGTAATGATGAGTAAATTGTAAAATTCCATGGGTCGGATATTGATATGTAAAAGATCGCGTCGACGCGTTCGCGTATAGTGGATTTTACGCGTACTAACAACCCCTGAATTTCATGATTTCGGTGTAGCAGAGCAATGGTACGGCAACGGGCAAAGTCTAGTCTATGCACATGGCACGAGAATATGTGAGGAGGTGATGCAAGTTGTGCATTTGAGCATGTATACTGTATGGAATACCGGTAGACGATAATGCACATGCAGATTATTAGATTTTAGTTGGATTTAGGCCTCTTTATTGGGTTATAATAGGACTATCATTCAATCTTCACTGTCAAAATCTGGCTGTAAGCTATTGCGATTCGACTGGAGAACTTCTCACGATGCTTTGATATAACATATTAAAATGACTTGAATCACTTGGACAGAGTATTTGTTACTTGCATACTTTTGGTTGCCAAAGATATTTAAAGATATGTAGACCAAGCTAGACGTGCTCCAATATGTGATAAGTGTGATGTCCCTACAGATCTTTGGAAATCAATATTTCATATGCTATTTTAGGAATTGCATACTACTCTAGACCGATGGAACATCAATGTTAGAAATTCTATCACGTGGGTATATTGAGTGGCATTCCTGCCGTAGGAAGTGAAGATAGCCACATTGTCTACTTATTACTCTGTAGGTAGTTGAGGATACCTAGGTAGGTAGACAGAGGTGTCGCTAGACACTAGACAGAAATGACACACCTATCTTCGTACCTGCAATACAGATCACGGGAAAGATTCGGGACTCGGGATCAAAACGAATGAAGAAAGTTGATTCTTGGCATTAGTATCATCTACTGAGTAGGTAGGTGGTTACTGCTAGGTAATGAATTCGTTTGGGCAGCAAGCAAACACATTAGACGGGCAAACTTTTAATCGACTCTGGCAAACTGACTGATTCGCATCTATGATCGTCTAGATCACAAACACGCAAACACACAACAAGAACCAATGTCAATATCAATATCAATACCAAGAAGACTTCTTTTTACTCACATCCAATATAATCAATGCACAAAGCTTCGATGGGATAGGTACCGGTAGGTATCCTGGAGGTATCCTCGAGGTATCCCACCTCACCCCATCAGGCTTCGTAGCCGCCCATCTTTCGTGCCAGGGTATTTGCCTTACCCTTCACGATTACTGGCTTCAGGATAAAAGCTGTGTATGCGAGTTTGACTGTCCTGCTCTTCCTATTCGTTATTCGTTCAGGTTCACTCATTTCAGTCAAATACCATCTTCTAACCTGTTAAACTTGTTCTCCAAGTTTGATTTCTTAACTCGTAAGCTCTTTCTCTTCATTCTTGTCTCTACACGGATTTGTATCCCAGAACTTTTCCCGTTTCGTATTTCACGCCGTGAAGAAGTTTACCAACAGGTCGCTGGGTCTTCCTTCTTACAGGCTTTCTTATCGTTTATCTATTTCTGCCCTACAGGCCTTTTTCGTGGCCGCTGTAAGCTTTGATACTTACCTGACGCAACTTTCCCCCGCCTCGCCGGCACAGAGCTTGGCTCTATTTCAGCCATCTGTTCAGCAGATTATTGAAAGAAGGACTCATATTAAGAAGAATCTACCACCCTATTCGCAAGTTGATCTAGCGGAGCGCTTGTAATCTGTACAAGATGGCTCGGCGCACTGGGAAACCCGGCGATGAGCTATTTATGCAACGTCCTGGCGACGGTTGCGATAGTCCTACTGTCACCATAGAACCTTTGAGAATTGTAAAGCCGACAAGTCCACCCAGACATCGAGCGGAATCCAGCTCTTCTAGTCGATTTGCATCTCCACCTCCTGCAAACAAGCACACATTCCCCTTGCCACCAGGTGCCTCGAGCTCCGCAAACCCTTTACCGTATCCCGATGATGACGATGACGAACTGTTTCAGAAGAAACCAAACCCTCCTTATCCTGACGACCGAGGAAAGGCTCCACAAAGGATACAGCTGAGCGATCAAGAATATAGAATACCTGGAGGAAATAGCAGGCAGAATGCGTATGATACAGCACCACGATTCACAAGTCCTATAGAGAAGACTGGCCCAGGGCTATCGGAAAGAAGAGGAAATGTACCACAGCCCTTGCCTGCTTCCCCAGAAATAAGCTCCCCTGATAGAGAAGGAATGTTTGGCAGAATACCTCCAAAGGAACCAATTCCTTCGTCTGGCGCAAGTGCGTACTCGGAGGGTAATAGACACTATTATCCTCCTCCTATTCCTAAACCCACCTCTTCTAATGCGGTGCCTTCAATACTTTCACCAACCCCAAGAAATGATATGAATAGATTCGCTTCCACGGCTTCAACTTCTACTACTAGAGCAAATAGGGGATCCCCACCTCCTCCAGAAACTCCTATCGATCCACCAAGCGATCTTGGAGGTGGTGGTATTGAGGCGCGATATGCTGCATCTGGAATTGCAGGTGCTGCAACTTTAAGTAGTTTACAGGCGCAAAATGCTGCTGCTGCTCAGCGAGCTAATCAATATGCGCCGCCTCCTGTTCCACAAATGCCACAATCGCCTCCCGCTAGACCTTGGACTCCAACAGAGTCTCCGGAGAATGCCCCGCATGGTCCACCTAGAGTATATCAAGGCTTGAATGAAATCACTCCATCGTCACCTCCGCCCGCTGTCACTCGGCCCCAAAGACAAGGTTCGGCACCACCAGCTAACACTCTGGAACAAGACTTTCAGCGCATGCAAATGTCTGCTGAAGAGCCGCCGCCAGCTTATTCTAGTGTGACTCCTGGAGCCAATAATTCACAAGTGTACCCAGCTGAGAAACAACAGCGTACCAATCCACCTGCTGCCATAGACACTACACCAAAACCAAATATCGCACCGCCATTAGCAACGCCAGCAAATAATCCTGACCACCCTGCATTTGCAAACGAGCCGCGACAGGAACAAATCCCACACCAACAGCAGCCTACTGAAGCTGGCCCATCAGCTCAACCTGTCAATATTTCTCCTTTTCAAGGCGCTGGTCCGTCATCTCCACCACCGCTCCCAGAGGGCTGGATTGCTCATCTCGACCAGAACTCTGGTCAATATTATTACATTCATCTCCCCACTCAAGCCACTCAATGGGAATTTCCCAAGGGCCCTACTCCATTGAATGATGTTCCGCTTTCACCAGTGCAATCCACCTATGCTGGATATGGAAACCCCATGGCGTCCCCGGGTTTGAGTATGTTCAACAAACAATCTCTTGCATCTCCTGGCTTTCAAGGAATGGCCTCGCCTGGTTTTATTGGCTCACCAGGATTTCCTCCACACACCCCGGGCTATGCGGAGAGTATTATGAGTATGGCGTCAGGTACGCCAACTACTGCAGGATTCTCGGGGCCGCCTCCCACCGCAGGGGTTGACATGTATAAAGTAGCTCCCACAAATGGCGTGTATTTCGGACCTTATTTACGTTACGTGAATATGGATATGGAGAATGGTGTATGGCTGGGTACAATTATGCTCGTGACAGATGCTCCACAACCACCAACTATCCATATTCATCAAAGTGTCGATCTGTCGCCAAACCCCAGGCAACTCAAACCCAACCCAATATACACACATCAAAGATGGGTTTTCTATCGCTATGATGTAGATTTGAAGATGGGAGAAGGTCCAGGTGATAAGTGGACCTATGCTATAACTTCGCATTTGGGTTGCACGCGATATGAGTTTCTGGTGGCCGGACGTTTCGAGACAAACTGGAGATTTATTGCGCATTCTGGCAATGATTTTGCTATGAATACTACCGTCAACGAACGTTCAAAGCTTGGCGGTATTGGTTTTATGTGGAAAGACATTTTGCAGAAGAACGTTGAATGTGGCGGTTTCCACGTGCAGTTGGGCTTAGGCGATCAAATCTATGGTGACAGACTATGGAAGGAAGTTCCTCTGCTGAAGCAATGGCTTGCTATGAGCGGCAAAGAAAACCGAAGAAGTGCAGCATGGACAGCAAGACATGAGGAGGACGTCTCACATGCTTACTTTCATTACTATACTAGTCATTTTGACCAACCATACTTAAGGGAGGCATTTGCTCAAATTCCTCACATATTACAGATTGACGATCATGACATGTAAGCTTTCGACACTGTATTTCTTCACTTTTACTGACGCTAACACCTTTAGTTTTGATGGTTATGGCTCTTATCCAGATTACATGCAAAATTCCAACATGTTCAAAAACATTGGTCGTATTGGTATTGAGATGTATCTCCTCTTTCAGCACCACACCACCGTTGATATTCTTCGAAATGTTAGCACTGATATCGATCTGTTCACAATTACTGGAGCTGGTTGGCATTTTGTCAAATATCTAGGACCTTCCGTCGTTGTGATAGGCCCAGATTGTCGATCAGAACGTACTCAACGCCAAGTTCTCGCTGGTCCTACCTACCAAGGCATTTTCCCTAAAGTAGCCACTCTACCTCCCAGTGTACAACACTGCATATGGATGATATCAGTTCCTGTGGTATATCCACGACTTGAAGCTGTAGAAAGTCTTGCACATACCATGGCCACGGGTAAGAAAGCTGTGAACAGTACTTATAATTTACTCGGAAAAGTTACAAGTTCCGTGGCTGGAGTTGTGGGAGGTAAAGAAGCCGTGGCAACTGGCTTTTCCCATGTTAAGAAGGCAGTTGGCAAGTCGGGTTTGATGGGAGGTGTACTTAATACATTTGGTGATATTGATATTGCGGATGAGTTGAGAGATATGTGGACACATGAGAGTAAAGATTTGGAACGAACATATTTAATACGGACTTTGCAAGGAATTGCTCATCAGAAGGGTATTAGAATGACATTCCTATCTGGCGGTAAGTTATCTATGCATCTATTACAGAAGTACAAACTGCTGACTCATTCCTAGACGTAAATTGTTGCGGTGCAGGACTTGTCCACGATCCTTCTCACCCCTCTAACCACAAAACCATGTATCAGATTATCGCATCTGCAGTTGTCGCCGCTCCGCCTCCATCATATGTTCTCAAGATGCTTCACAACAACAAACCACTTTACGTTCCTCAAAATGGTGTCAAAACAACCAACCAAGTCAGCGATACCAAAGAAGACATGATGGAGATATTCCAGACGGACACCAATGGGGGTCCACGAGATATGAAGAAGTTAATGGGAAGGAGAAATTACGTAGCGTTTGTTGCTTTCGACCCAGATTCAATGATGGGCGGCATGAGTGCAAATGGAAGTATGCACAGTGGAAATGCTGGGTTGGCAAAGCTGAGTCTGGCCGTTGATTTTGTGGTGCAAGGGGATGGAGGATTTAGCCCACCTACTAAATATGGCCCTGTTATTATACCAAGTTTAGAGTTTGGCAGATAACGAGAAAGAGGAAGGATTGGATCGGCATGCGATTTGCAATATGCAAGAGAGGTATCAGAAACGCGGTGCAGTTAATGAGATACTCTCGTGACAATTGCAATTTTGATGTATATTTGTTGGACTGCCTTGTTCGTTGATTTTGTAGCATATAAAGAGGGAGTAGTTGGGAAGCAATATTTTACTGGGTAGCTGAATCACACTGTCCTATGGAATACACTTTTGTGTATGTTTGCTTCTAACGTCATGAATCAAGTACTAGCCAGCTGTAGTCGAAATGAAATCATGGCCTTTTAAGAAGCATATTGAGAGGAGCATTTATTGATGTCTGTAGAGAGATTGACTGGATCACTGGATGGGGATGATAGTCTAATAGGGATTGTCTTTGGCACTATATCGTATTCAGGAAACGAAATCTTGAGCTTCAGAGAATGTATTCACAAGACTTCTTTAATATGTGTACAATTAAACTATGACCTTTAGATATTTCGAGATCGTCTACTCGTGTAGATCAAACAATAGTAAATGATAATGATACTCGAGTAGTGGAGTCAAGGGTTCTCGCTAGATCAATATCTTAATCAGCTTATATCCCTGTCAGACTATGCCCCTCAATCCCCCTTCTAGTAAAACAGCCAGACCGCCAAAGTGTCAACTTTCCAAACTCAATCCTTCACTTCCTTCCAATTTAACTTCTCGTTCGTTTTTTAATTTTACCTTCTAACAAAATATTTCAAAATGACAGACGCCGTAATTGCCAGTTTCCCCCCTCTCGCAGAGCGACCCATCAAAAACACCATCTGTCTTTTCGATGTTGATGGAACTCTCTCTCCGGCGCGGCTAGTATGTTGCTCCCAACTTCTCAACGCCTTTCACTATGCCTCAACTAACAATCAAAACTGTAGTCTGCCTCTGCAGAGATGCTCAATCTCCTTGCCGCTCTCCGTCAAAAATGCGCCATCGGTTATGTAGGTGGCAGCGACATGGCCAAGCAACAAGAACAACTCGGCACTGCTGAGATTCCCGTTACCTCCATCTTTGATTTTTGCTTCGCCGAAAACGGTCTCACAGCTTTCAAGAGCGGTGTTCCCCTTCAATCGAACAGCTTCATCAAATGGATTGGGGAGTCTCAATACAAGGAGCTGGTCAGATTTATCTTGCATTATGTTGCGGATTTGGATATTCCAGTGAAGAGAGGAACATTCATCGAGTTCAGAAATGGCATGATCAATGTCAGCCCAATTGGTAGAAATGCGAGCGTTGTGGAGAGAAATGAGTATGAGGTCTATGATAAGGAACATCATATCAGAGAGAAATTCATCGAGGCCTTGAAGGAAAAGTTCACTGGTCTGGACTTGACGTGAGTTTTTTTGATCGCATGGAAAATTAATGATGGGCTAGACTAATAACTTGCGATGCAGATACTCAATCGGTGGTCAAATTTCTTTCGATGTCTTCCCTACTGGCTGGGACAAGACATACTGTCTCCAACATCTTGAGAATGACGCAAAGCGCCCAGGCGGTATTGAATATACTACCATTCATTTCTTTGGAGATAAGACATACAAGGGTGGAAACGATTACGAGATTTATGAAGATCCAAGGACAATTGGTCACAGTGTGAAGAATCCAGATGATACCATGAGAGATATTAGACAGATTTTTGACCTTTAGGTATATGGCATTTGCTGTGAAAAGGTATAGATATTAATTTAAAGGGGAGATAGGAAGAAATTTATATTCATCTATTCCAAGCCCGATTTTGATATCCGATGATTACCTCTCGCGAACACAAAAGCATTTTTGGAGGCTAACGCGGGGTGGATTGACAATCTCTAGATTATAAATCCGACACGATATTGACTCTTTTCCTTCTATTGGAAAAATCAATCCATAAAGCTAATGATCTAACTGATTGTATAAGATAAAAGAGGAATGACAAGATTATCCCCCTCAGGGATAACACAAGTTGCATTATTTCCCGAATCATATGAGCAATCCATTTCAAACTCTAAAGTTCCATACCCCTGAATAACACTTCCATTCGTACAAGCCCACTGATGATTTGGCTCATAATAAATCGTTCCTATGTTTGGCGAACCGTCACTATGGGGATTGCTATCACCGATAAAGGTAACTCGATACGCTACTCCTGCACAGAAGACAACGCCATTGCCGACGTCGTAGCGACGAAATCCAGCTGGATTAGTCTGCTCACATCGAGTGTATTCGCCAGGATTGTTGATACCGATTTTTACATCGTCCGGAGGGCCGAAACCAGCGGGTTGCAGGGGAAGACCGGTATAACAGCCGTTTATGCCGCATTCATCGCAGGGACCGAGGTTGCCGTCACAGCCTACGAGGCCGTCGGAGGTAGAATTGACACACACGTTGGCTGGAGAGATTTTTAGCTGGGGTTTTTATAGAGATGGATTTGGGGAGTGGTATAAACATGAGGAGGAAATGAGTACTTACGAACGTTCACCTGGTTCACACAATCTAAATTATGCGTGGAATTAAACCAGATGAAATTTGTCACCTCCCAGGCAGGTATGACGTCGCATTCTGGGGGTGGGGTGACGGATTGACGAGTTTGGAGATGGGGGGTGAGGGGCGTGCAGATTGCTGTGCCTAGGAAGAGGAAAACCAGGGGGGCGGTAAATCTTGTTAACATTTTGATGACTTTGAGTGTTTGGGTGAGATTGATTGTTCCTTTAGTCAAACGAAGGTTGTGATATTGGATTAGCAATGGGAAAGTAGACGACTATTAGTAGTACATTTGTAGTTCCCAATTCACCAAATCCATGAATACGATATCGTTAGTCTGTAAGTGGAGATGATGACAGAGGGGTACATTGACAACACGAAGATCGAAAATTCTCCAGCGCAACAGCCTAAATGGCTAGAATGCGGTCACGGCCAATGAAGATACCACCCTCTTCGTATATCTGCAGCGGGGATCGTCCGGATGTCATCCAGATTCCAATGTGGATTTTTCGGGTAAGGCTTGGCAGCTTTTTTCAACAGCTGAAAAATGTATGTGTGTGAGAATGGTGCTCGCCACGCTCGCCTAGAGCGACATACGAAATGCGCATGGAAAATCTGGACGCACGCACGCACATTTTTTACGTGATGCGATGGGATGACTGTGCATGGAAGTTGTGAGCTAAGTCATTCCTCCTGATTATTAAGCGCGTTGGAAATCGTGTTTCGTGAATGGGGATTTGAGAGCGAAAAGATCTTTCGCTGGCGAGTTCGTGTTTGGGGCGGGGCGGGGGAGTGAGGCGTTGGGTTGGGTAGGGTAGGTGTGAGTAGGTACGTGAAAATCCTGGAGACGAGAAGCGTGTTTTTTCGTATAGGTATGTACTGTAGTGTACGCCACTGGGGATTGGTGTATTCATCATACGAGGAGGTGACGATTTTGGAGTTGGAGTGAGTCTGGATGGAAGGGGATATTGGGTTGCAGCTTGCTAGAGTATAGTGTGCTTCTAGAATTTTGGGTTCTGTGAAGAATGGTAACTGGCATGCCATTCATTACTTGCGTTGACAGCTGTAACGTTACAAAAGGCTAGTTGGAGATTGTGACATGGCAGGTTGGTGGAGAGCTAGATCAAGGGTATCGGAATGGTCTGCTTGAGGTACATCTGTATATGTTGATGTTAAGGCGTGAACATGCGGGTCTCTAGATTTGTCTCTAATGCACGCTTGTGTGAGGATATAATTATCTGACGTTGCGTGGATACTGGAAATACGCTGGACTATTGTGATGAGAGAGGGATTCTGGGGGATGTCTGGATCACTTGTGCACTTTTGTGTGCTAGAGACATTCGGTCGAGATATTGTGATGGGGATAATGGAGTGGTGAATTGTAATAAATGAGATTGAGTAATTGAGGACATGGATCAAGAAGCATATGGGATGAATATTCCCTACAGAATACCTGGAGGAGTTTGAAAGTTCGTATTCTATTGATGGCAGTATTTAGTAGCGACAACAATTGTTGTCGTTGAGAAGGCCACTCGTATGCGCTTGAGTCGTTTGATTCCTTTAACTATCAAATGTTATTGATCTCTCAAATCTCAAGAACGATTTCATACCGTTGTCCATCGCTTCAGGTATGGAGAATGTGCAACTGTGTGCTCACTCTTCTTATTAAAGCTTCGTTTGTGAGTTGATTATCGGAAGCACACCTTCGGTAATGGGCCATACACTTGGAAGTTGGTGAGGGAACACATCTCTAAAAGCGTCTAGTTGAAAGAAGCATCAACTTGAGTCCTTGCTTTGTCATAGGAAGCTTTTCGAACTATGGATGGAAATCATCTGTCAACTGTCACTACAGAGTGTCGCTTCTTCATTGCCTCAAGTTTTGATGCAAGGACAAACATTTTCCGAACCCAACCATAAAGCTTAGCTTGATTGGAAAGATACAAACCACGCTTTCTCCATAGTTCGATGGAAACGAGACTTTCTTGTTGTTTGAAGGTCTCGTAATGAGTATATGAATCAACGCCTTATTGACACTTGTAAAAACAAACGCGTTTCATTCAAAACTGCCTGGAAACAAAACACAACATACGATAAATGGTTGCATCTTTATGAGCAAAAGACTCCTAGTGACTCTTATCACACCGCACTGACTGCTTATCAGGTTCACATATCAGTTTGCCAGCTAGTGTACGTTGCTTGCGTCTTAGATGGCACTCGTGGATCTCTGATAATCCATATATAGCAAGGAAGTCTTCATCTCCTGTGGATATCAAAACAAACAATTGACATATATAAGGTTCTGCAATGTAAGTGAGCAGGTTACTGGTAGCCATATTGATAATATTGTATAACATGCCCCGAAACACAAAGAAACGTAAGACTAAAAACATTTCAAGGCGTATAGAAATCGAGTCAATTCATCTTACCATCGCTAGACGGCTTATTACAATACGCCAAATTGTACCATCAACATACTGCCAAACATCGGATCGAAAAGGTCACACTCACACCTCCTCACATGATAGAACACTCACATGATCACACTCTCCTGCATACCTCCGCTTCTCATCACACCAATCTGATCAAAACCAATTGTTGCACATCTCATCGCTTGAACCCGTCCAAAAACCTCCTCCAACCCCATTTGTTGCACATCTGATCTTCGCCTTCGACCGCCGTGGCTTTTTTGATCCATATGTTTATAGCGAAATCCATATACGCACACATGTGTTTTATCAAATGCATCAATCTATCAAACGAGACACCAACACTCAAGACCTATCAGATTCTCCAATAATCCTCAAGCGAGAAATTTAAATCTCGAGCGTTTGTATTCCATCTCTCAGAGATCTGTGATTGGATGGATAAACTCACTCGATAAATGCTAGTCTTGCAATAGTCAAAATGTTCCAGATTGTACGATATGCAACAGTTTGATCGATGGGGAAGGTGGGTGCATGGGTGTATGTAAGTATGCGGCGGGAAGGTGCAGGATGGTGTGACGATGGCGATTGGTTGGGCGGTGGATGGTGTGGTGATGGATGCATCGTGTTTGTTGGGTAGATTTAGGAGTAGATGTGGAATAGAAAATCTGTTGGAGATTTTGAGGTGGTTGTGGATAGAAGATGGAGAGCGTTACGTATAGCTGAAAACATTTTAGTTGTCCCGATTTTCAAACTCTATGTTTTGTTTGTGTTTGTCATGGGTAGAGATTTGTATTAACTGCGGATGTTAACGCTCCATAGCTGGCGTCGGAATGAATTCTCGTTGCTCTGAATCGTAAGCTAGATTATCTTTCCATCTTTTCATTCCTTCCTGATTTCATTATCAAAAAGAAGTAGTTTCTATGTGGCATTTCGAGGGGAACAGGTCAATCAAGCACTCTAGCAACTCATGCAGTCGACCGAAACGTTGATGCTACAAGGCGACGCATTCTGAAGGCAGCCAGACCAGACGCTACAGTTCAATCATCGGGTAGCTTTTGTCGTCACTCAAGTTGTGGATACTTTATCATATGGATCTCAAGAAGCCAGATGGCGACACCATAAGCGAAGGATCTCCAGACTTAGATAGGAAAGGAGAACTCGAAATGCTTACCAGTTAAAAGAAGCCTACATCGACGCGAGGAGCCGATGTTTCGACCCAAGAAGCGAACATCATAATCTTATGCTGACCTTGTATTCATCTCTGCTGCTGATAGATAATTGAGCTGTACCTAGCCTCTAGCTAGAACAGATAGACAACAATGCGATCGGGTGAATGCAAAACTAAATTTTTGAGCCCACTCTGAAGCCTGCGTTCCAAATATCTCACGTTTGAATGCATACTCAAGTGAAATATATCGCAATCTCTCTGTTGAAACTAAAGACAATTATGGTTGGAAACTCAGCATAGTGCGACCACATCCAGCTGAGCATTGGAAGACCGAGCAGAGCGTTTCTGATATGATCTCAATTCTGCGGAAAGATATACTCTATCAGCGTGTAATGCAGACCATCTGGCGGGCGTCTATCGTTGATCTGATAAGACGATATCTCGAGTCTCTAGGACCAGACCGCGTTACTTCAAGTATGACAGCCCAAATGCTGAGAGGCAGAGTGGTGCATGTATTAGAGATGATAAAGCTGTATCTGAAGCTTCTTATGGATACTGTCAATGCAAATCAACACATTCAATTCAAGTATGACCAAGTCTGGGGATCCATTCGGGATTGATTAGGAAGAGAAAGAATGTACTTGTAAAACTTGCAAGCATCGATCACTCGATTTCGTATAGCTTTGTTCCCAAGATTAACTGACGGTGGCAAAACAAGCAACTTCAATATTTCTGTCTCATATTTTGTCAAGCAACAACACCAATCGATCAACACTTTCCAACCACAGAAAGTCACAACTCGCACAACCATCTCCCCATTACCTCTTGACCTCTCACTCAGAATCCTCATAACTCAACCTAACTCTGATACGCCAACGCGCTTCTCATTTTGAAATATTCTCCAACCACAATTGGTTCGTACTTCTTCTTCTCTCCCTCCAATACACATTCCTTGAAAACTTCTATAGATTTATCCGTATCCGGTCCGCAGAAATATGGAATGGAATAACGCGCTTGTGTCATTCTTACTCCTTCCTGGGTGATTGTGTAGCGAGAGGTTGAGTGGGGGAGTTGTACGCGATGGAGTGAGGATTTGAGATCATCTGTATGCGTTAATATGTTGGTATTTATAGATCATACGATAAGAGTCTAGGTAATGGAGAGAAAAATGAAAAAGGAATGAAATACCATTAGTCCATCTCATAAGTAGATCACCTATATTCATCACGATAGCATTCTGAACCGGATCCGCTCTGATGAATTCACCAGGTTTCTTCGGATGCTCGATTTCCAATCCTCCGCACTCGTCTTGAAATACCATGGTGATACTTCCAAAATCGGTGTGGGCTGGTAGTCTTACTGCAAGTCCGGTTTCGATTTCAGAGGCGGGGATGGGAGGATAGTGGAGGAGTCGTAGTTGATTGGTATGCCCGGAATGGAAATCTGCAAGTAAGGAGGGGTTGTGAAGCTCTAGTCCTGTGCCGAGGGCTAGGAGTATCGTTTTAGCGGTGGTGGACAGACGGTGGTAGAAGAATTGCATGAAGGAGTGAAAATCTGGGAGTGTGGATTCGGGGAGCCAAATATTTGGTTGAGAGGCATTTTGTTCGGAGCCGATTTCATAACTTTCCTGTGAGGATGTTGTTAGTCCACCTTAATCACAGCGGATTTAGGTGAGCGTCTTTCAGGGTTGAAACTTGCGATATGGTAAAATCGGAAAATAAGATAGCCTTTCGAACAATCCTACAAACTTACTTTACAATCCTTCACCCCTCTCATCTTCTCTCCTAACTCAGCGTTGTCACTAATGACCTGGTATACCTTCTCCAACCCCGGATACGAGTATCCTCTATGAACGCTTGGACCGGGTGGATGCGGCGCTTGCATTTTTGCCTCGTGTGAAAGGTCGAACAGTTGTTTCGTCATTGCAAAAGCTTCTTCGAGCAATGAGGAGGGGACATCATGATTCATGATGTATACAAAACCGAAATGACGACAAGCATTGACGAGGGCTTTTGCAGTTTCGAGACGAGATGTTGGAGAGGTGGGATGTAGAAAGGGAGCAAAGTCGATAATGGGAATTGTGGAGGTGGGATTAGACGTCATGTTGAGGAGTTGTTTGAATAGTTGTAGTTGTTAAGGGAGCTTCAAACGTCGAGATTATTTCCAGATAGTGAAAACAACAAATCTGTTAATGCTGTTCTCAAACTTTCAAACTCGGAATCTTCAACTAGACTGCAGTGCGGAATATTGGAAACACTGTCAACAAGAACTATCTTATGAGAAGTGACATGGAATCGTACATAGTAGTTGATATAATTGAGATGTGATATTCAGTGAAGGAGGTGATAAATCGTGACGGAGTCTTCAGTATAGTCTATGCTATCTCTCAACGAGAATGTTCGAATTATGACACCAGCTGCGCAATACCGATATGTACGTCTAGCGAGCGACTGACTACACAGTATTACCACACCAACGTATCCTGAAAGCCATCAGCTTGTTGAGCCAATATACATCGACCATTCTTCGATCTCCCTTGGATAGAATTGAACAATATGTGAAAGGCTGACAAATCCAAACAATTGTCCTACCTATATGAGAATGTATCGCTCCGCCAAAAATAAATGAGGGGTTGAGTCTAAGGTCGTACGTCGTTGATGCTACCTGGGCAGCGTGCATATATTTATTAGTCAGCACTGTGAAACCTCACCATATGCTAGTCGATATGATTTAAAGTTATTGTTTTGAAGCAGCTTTTATTGGCCAGGTTTCGAGATTGAAGGACGGTACATAGAAATTACTGGTTTGGGTATATGCTGAGCAACCTGTACCCTTGCCTTCGATGTCTCTTCTTTGAACTCTAAAAACACCCCTTTCTAAAGTATTCCCAACAAGAAAATGTTTCCAGATCGATATCAGTGCTATCATTTACCTCACCTTCAATAATCTATCACTGGACACTACAGACAATTCGAGTTACATGGGCGGTGTGAAGTGCTTAGACACGCATGCCCACTGACTTACCGTGTCCATTCCGGTACAGTACTATTTCCACAGAGCAGAGAGCCATTTTTCAAGGATAAAGAAATCTCACCATGAACTGGTAACGTTCATATGGTAACGTACTTAGCTAGTAGCATACAGTCTCACATGTAACTGCAAAGAATGAATAACTACGGTGAGTCAAGTGCTGCAGACTGCAATTTTCGACCTAGCCTCGCTTTTCTCTTCCCTTATCAATATTCCTCGAGGTTTTCAGAATAATCACCCTCCCACAACACGAGCAACTAGATTCGTCTATCGATCAGCCTGTGATGAATAGACAAACTTCGGCAATGTTTTAACGCAAGCAGCTCATTCTGAATGGAGATCTTGACCCTTGTGAAATGCAACTCGAGATCCGAGATAAATTTCTTTCAGAGTAGGCAGCTTAGCTTCAATTTGCTAGTAAGCCTATGAGAGATTCAGATTGGAAGTACACCAATTTTTCAAATCCAACTACTCCTAGCCTCAAGGAATCGCATTTCCAGTAGAGCAGATGAGATGAGAAAGAAGCAATCGAGTGATATGCATTATTCTATGGGAGCTTGAATAGAAAAATAGGATAAGAAACCTCGCGAAGAACAAGAGCCAGATTAAGAGAAAATGAGAGCAGAGTCCTTAATATTTATCTAGGAAACAATGGAGTCTGCAACTTGGATGGAATGATAAGAGGCACTTGCATGAGTTGCACTCAAACGAAGTGAGGGCAGGACAAATGAAAGGAGGTCATGAAGCATGATGAATGATATTAATCCGAACTTTTCGAGAAGAATAGGAAAATGGTCGACGAGTGACGCGAAGATCCAGGAGGTCATCGATACTTCGAGTTCCCCTTTGACCTCTCGATTTTCCTACGGTTTGGAAGCCTTCCTTCCAGAATTCATTTCATCCATTGATGCAGTACAAGGATTTTGATCCCCAACTTCGCATTCTCTTCAGGACAGCCTCACCTACACCCAGATGCGTGGGGGTCCTGTCCAGCAAGCAACACCCATGAAACTATCCCAAGAAAGCTCTCTTATGCTTACCAATATTCCAGCCGCATTAAGATATATGAATAGAAACAGTAGGGGTGAAATCCGTTAAGGTATTCGAAAGCGAAATATGTACGAAACTTATGCCTCCCTTTCATTAGTATAACAATATTAAACTAACGTCGGGAGAACCCGGCTCGTGTGAGAAAAAAAGGTAACCAGAAGCATTGACCCCCCATACATACAAATTCACTCCACCCATCTCCTCGCTTACTTCTTCGCTTTAAGTATTTTTCTAGAACGTACAGGAACGCCCCCCGTCTAATCTAAATATGTGCTGCCGAAAAGCGGAGCTTGTCATGACCCATCGAGCGAGCCGAGCGAGCTAATTCTTAATCAATCTTGAGTTTAAAGATAACAGGAACGATAAAGACATCCACACATGTGATAGGTTGAAAGAGATGTCAAGGCTTTTTGTCAAGCGTAATTTTATTGGACGGTTTCAACGACGATAAGGCTAATGAGTTCCAGGGGTGGAAGCTAGATGTTTTCAGGTTAGGAAGCAAAAGATAAGAGGTTTATTGATTATCTGTTGATAATTTCGAGAGGTCAAAGGGGAGATTTTGAGAGATTAGGGGGATTGTTTGATGTGTTAGGAGAGGAGATAATAGAAGAGGAGTACGTCATGATGAGAGAAGATGTAATTTCAGCTTGAAACTGAGCTATGTATGGTGAATCTGGGCAAATTGACTGATTGTTTGCCGCAGAGTTGGTAACTTGCCAGTTGACGCATAGAAATCGAAAATAGGCGAAGATGAAGGGGCAAGTAAAAGATACTCACACAATGATACATCATCGCTATATTGAGACCAAAAAAACAGCAAGGGAAAAAGCCTTAAGAAGTACAACGAAAATTTTGATGTCCATGAGCATACCATTCTATGCAAATACCAGAAGCCACAGAGTTACCAAGTAGCAGGATAGGCACATAGGGTACCTTTATTGCAGGCGCCACACGCGGGGGGCAGACAAGCAGCAGACAAGCATGTTGACGACAAATTGGGGAGAGGAAAGGATGTGAGAGTGTGGGTGAGCAGCGAAATCGGGGGAAGATTGTTCTGGATATTGAATTCTTTTGTATGATTGATCAGCTGAGATGGAATCCTTTGATGAAGTAGAAAAAGAGAGAAAAGAGAACAAGTCACTCTTAATACTCACGCGGGACTCAGACTTTGAAATATGATATTGGGCTCTGATATCAACCTATCTCTCAAACATGGTGAACCAGTCAATGCAATTATCATCAGATCATATCAAACCAGATAATCAGCCACCAAAACTCAAACCAAATACATGTCTCTGTCATTCGCGCCTTGTCTCGAGCGTGCTTACCTACTTTTCGGAGATATCCCTACAACCCGCATGAATACATAGCTCCTTTACTAAAGTATTCGATTCTCGTCCGTCATTATGGGCTATGCTCGTCAAGGATACCTGGGTATGTACCCCATAATTGAAGGTTGAGAAGTCGTGGATCTCCAATTCCTGTGATTTCTGTGATTTCTATAAATGGGTGATATCGGAAGGTAGAGGATTAATGTGGTCGAGAAAATTACTACCAATCTCCGTGAAGATGTAGAATGTGAAGATGATAACTTGCGAATAATTCACGTGTGTTGGGGGATCTAAAAGTACCATCTTAGATGGAATTGCAAATAGAATCGCAATAGCCTCATTTCTCTTTCTTGATGAAACATGTAAGCCTCAAGTATTGATTAGACTTTCAGCCATAACCGTGGGATGTGTATCTTCGTATCATATGCTGCCTGACAATTGCGATTTCGGGCACGGCATGATTCGATTTGCTCAAAGATCTAATCAGAAACTATGCATTGACTGGCTTACATTTTGGTATTTGGGGGATCAAGATACAAATACTATTGTTGACCAATAATAAGTGATATGATATCTTCAGATGTCATTTGTGTCACAAACATCTACATGTCTCGCGACCTTCATATCTCTTGGCCCATAGTACCAAGTTCGAATCTGGAGCCGTTAATTTTCCCGAGTACTTTTTCATTGTGCTTCAAGCCGCGCATGGGATAAATGAGTCCACCTCTCACACGAACATCCCACATCGAATCCAGAGACATGGGTATGGAGTGAGAAACTAAACTGGGTAAACTCTCGGCCCGTCGATCTAAAAGATCTGCCTAGTACAATGTACTGTTGCTTATAGACTCGTAGACGTCGTCCGAACTCGCGTGAAGAATGAAAAATGGTCTTCCCTGTGAGCTGATCAATATTTGGATGTGATTGGCATGTTTGAACGAATCGCTTGTTATGAAACTACCGTTCAGATATATTGTGCCAGACGGAACAACCGACAGATAGAACCCTTTGGGTCAGAGTGCCTAGGTCGCTACTGTAAGCAATATTGAATGGATGGATGGATGGATGGATGGATGGATGCTCGATCTTTGAGTAAAGTTGGTAGAATTATCCGATCTCTTGGTACATATCCCTCCATATCCATAGCATGGATGCATGGCTTGGTATTTGTGATTTCTCTGAAGATGCTTGTCCAAGGCGTTCCTCATCCGTAGGTGTGAGTGTATGTGGATATCATAATTATAAGGTTTTATAGCTACCACTTGCCATGCGGACTAGAATTCCCATGTTCCGTATTATAAAAGCGGAAGAGCTCCACCATCTTATAGTTGAAAAGTACTAAAGGAAAGAACAGTCCCGATTGCTAGCTCTTTTTCCCTGATTCCAACATTCGAGATTAATATATCTAATCTTTTGGATTTGGGATTGTTTGATTGTTTAGCAACTTTGTCCAGTCTTTCTTATTCATCATTTACATAGCTAGTATCAAGGATATTCTTGGCACTCAACTCTGCTATCAATCTACCTCTCAATTATCACCGGATTAGGTTGCGAGACAACATCAATAGTCGTAAAACCATCCAAACCGTCCAAACCACCAATTCTTTCTCAGTTGTAACCAAACCAACTCCTTTATAATTCGAATATCTATTGTCTTCTCCTACTTTTCCGAAAGCACCAACATCTATCCTGGTCCAGCGAAAAACGAAGTCCACGTCATTCTAGAGGCATTTCCTGCCCAAAACCTCGACACAAAACGAATCTCGAGGGAAGAAAAGGCCGACAGGAGGGCAATTGAAGGAAATTTCGAAACCTAATAACCATGTCGAGCACCGAATATTACCCAAATTATGGCTACGTTGGAGCTCCTGCAAATTATAATGGTACTGGAGCCAATGGTGGTGATAGTGGTATGTTTCCATCTCTTTCTTCGAATCTTCGAGTAAGGTTACCAAATTGTACCTCCACAATTTACACATTCCGGATGCCTCTCTTATCTCGATGAATTCAACATCCTCAATTCTAAACCCCTTCACAACGCAAAAACATAAACTAATATTCAATTCTCAAATTAGCCGTCGTAAATTTAAATCAATGGTTCGATCCGGGCGATCAAGCCTTTATCATCGTAGCATCATGTATGGTTCTGCTAATGCCCCCCGGTCTGGGCTTTCTATACTCTGGTCTCGCACGTCGAAAGTCTGCGCTCTCGATGATCTGGGCCTGTATGGGTGCCTTTTCTATAATAGTCTTCCAATGGTATTTCTGGGGTTATTCTCTGGCTTTTAGTTCAACGGCTACGAATGGGTATATTGGAAATTTGAAACATTTCGGTTTGATGAATACCCTGGGCACGCCAAGTCCTGGAAGTCCTCTGATTCCTGAGTTGTTGTACAGTTTTTATCAGGTATGTGGTTTTGGGTCTAGGGTTTGCAGGAGAGGGTGATACGGATGGCTAATGATTGGGATTAGTTACAATTCTGCGCAACAACTGCCGCAATTGTCGTAGGAGCTGTCGCTGAAAGAGGTCGTTTGGTTCCTATGATGGTATTCATATTCTTCTGGGCTACTATCGTGTACTGTCCAGTCGCATGTTGGGTATGGAATGTCAACGGTTGGGGATTCAAATATGGGGTTCTCGATTACGCGGGTGGTGGACCAGTTGAAATCGTTTCGGGTATGTCTGCGCTTGCATATTCGATGGTCTTGGGCAAGAGACAAGAGAAGATGATGTTGAATTTCAGACCACATAACGTGTCATTGATTACCTTGGGTACCATTTTACTGTGGTTCGGATGGTTAGGATTCAACGGAGGAAGTGCTTTTGGAGCCAATTTGAGAGCTGTCATGGCTTGTTGGAACTCGTGTTTGGCAGCTATGTTTGGAAGTATTACCTGGTGTTTGTTGGATTGGAGACTCGCAAGAAAATGGTCAGTATTCTTTCATCCATTCTGAAATTCTTCATGCTGATAGAAATTAGGTCCATGGTAGGTTGGTGTTCAGGCTGCATCTCTGGTCTCGTAGCCGCTACACCCACATCCGGATTCATTCCTCCTTGGGCCTCCGTCATTCTCGGCATTGTCACCGGTATCGTCTGCAATTACAGCACCAAAATCAAGTTCTGGATCCGCATTGACGACTCCATGGATGTGTTAGCTGAGCACGGCATGGCCGGTGTTGTCGGACTAATTTTCAACGCTTTGTTTGCTGCAGACTACATAATCGGTCTTGACGGTGTCAACACCGGGGTCATTACTGGCGGCTGGCTCAATCACAATTACAAACAACTCTATATCCAAGTTGCCTATATTGTCGCCTGTACCGCCTATTCCTTCGTCGTTTCCGCCCTCCTCGCTATTATCATTAACTACATCCCCGGTCTCCATCTCCGCGCCTCAGAAGAAGCTGAACTCCTTGGTATGGACGACGATCAACTTGGCGAATTCGCATACGATTACGTTGAGGTAAGACGTGACTACCTTGCCTGGACACCCGCAAAAGATGAACCAGAAAATGTGGAAAGTAACGTGAACCCCGAGGATCGTCATGGTATTCCAGAACACTCGGACATGATAACCGGACATTCGGATATGATTACGGGACATGCGCCGGGGAGCGGAAGAAACAGTGGAAGCGAAGCAGATACAAGAGCGGGAAATGCTCACAATACGATTATGGGTGACAGACACGGAATTGCGGCTACAGATAAGGAGAAGGCTGCTATGGCGAGAGCGGCACAAAATAATTGAAAGGGCTCTTGACGCAGAATAAATAATATTGGGAGGGTTTTTTTTTTTTGGAATTCTTTGGATACGACACAATTGCTATATTGTGAGGAGTTGAGTGCGGGAAACTTGGTTATGAGATATCTATTTTCTTTTTCACGTTTATGTTTTGGGTTGAGGGGTGGACCGGGGCAAGGAAAATATGTACTCCATATGGTTTGGTGGGTGGGATTATTTGATTCCAAAAATATTCGCGTGGACGGGATGGAAACTTGAAAGAAGATTTATTGTATATAGAATGGATGTAAGAGGGATGCAAGTAACTATTGGTGAATGAGGAGGAGAGAAGGTGAATATACTATCAATTTAACAGACTACATACTATTTGGTGTATGAAAATTCCAAAGCTATAAATGAATGTGAACTCGAGAACAGGATCATGTGAAAACCGTATACATTTTGAATAGACCTGTTCTAGAACCGGAAATACATGGATTACCAGGCGTGTGAGGGGGGTACAAAGATCTATTCAACGAGCTACCGATATCTACCATCCATCTATTCTATAATGCTGCTTAAAGGCTAGTCTCGCGGGATCTTATACTACCCATTGAACTTGTCTCGCTTCTCGCACCTTTGGAGAAGAAGTTGGGGAAATTCGAAATCCAGAAATAGCAGCGACTTCAACACCTTGAATGGTTGACGTCAGTTTTAACATGTTTCCCCATCATGACATCACAATCACAATCACAATCCCATCCATGATTCATCACACCCGCGCTGCTCTGCATATGATGCAAGTGATCTCTCACATCGTACGTACCCAGCAGGACTAAATCTCCGGTGGGAGTTTGGGGTGCGTGGGACGGAGAATGAGGCATGCATGGAAGGAAGAGGGGAGGCAGGGAATGGAAGGGAAGGATGTGAACAGGGATATGGCATGTGGGATAGGGGATGTGGAGATAAGGAGTTGGGAATGAGAAGAAGAAGGGAGAGGAGAGATAAGGGAATGCTGAGGGTGGTGTGTGGTATGTGTGCATGCATGCTTATCAGTGAGAGGGATGCAGGGCGGGTTGGGCCGGATGGGTGGTGTGCGCACGGACTCGGGGATTTGTTGCTTGGGATTTGGGGATTGGGGATGGGAATTGGGAATTGGGAATTTGGAACGTGGTGATGGGTGCGATAAGGGGATCGTGGGGAAAGTGAGATGTATGTGTAGCATAGATGGGCAGTTGGGAGAGGAGACTGATACTATGTGGAGAATCGATGGATAGATTTTGGTGCTTGGGGATGTTGGCGCGGCGCTGTGAATGCTTGGGGAGAGCTTGGGGGATCTTGGCTTGATAAGGGGTTTTTGGGTGTTTTTGCACTGCGGTTGATTTGGATTGGAAGAGTCTATGACACTTTGTATATTCATATGTGAGGCTATGTTATCGGGAGATGATGGAAGTGTGGAGATGGGTTGAAGGTTGGAGGTTGGAGGTCAAGGTGATCTCGCTGAGCGCACCAAAAAGACTACATACTACGGGCGATTGTAAAATGATATCGAGACCGGTACATCGATTTAGATCAAGTTTTGAATGTACTTAAACTCTATCAAAGCTCATGTCTTGCTTGTTGGGTGGTACTGACATAGGAAAAGCTCAAACAATATTAAATGTGTTGTCTTTTTGGGCGAGATATCGGCATGTTGATGGCCTGGCATACTATTCCATGAACAATTATTATTTCGGATACGCAGGATTGATGAGGGAATCAAAGATTCAATACGTGCATGATAAAATTCTTGGTTCATTTAATTTTGTGGTGAATGTGCGAAAGAATGCGGCGTATATATTGATACTTGCGGGCGCCCGAAGAAGAATGTGGCTGGGAAATTCAGCTTATACATTCCCAGGGAACATAAATCCATAGTTCAAAAAATGTTTCATATACCTGAGATATTGTGCATTGCAACAATCTTGCGTGCATGAGGAACTTCCTCGATATATCTCGTAAACGAGCACTTAAATAGACAGTAAGAAACAGACGTTGAGAATAGGACGGAGTTTGAGAGAGAAAAAAATCGTCCAGGAATACAAATATTGAAATACTTGAGACACAACACTAGTTCGATCTCCAAGCATGCTTCATCCAGTACTGGGCAATTGTAGAGGCGAAGGCCTCTGTTTGTCGCATACATGCACCGTCTAATGCATACCTTACATATAGTCATAGAAGTCAAGTGATTTGATCTCAAACTCGGACCGGGTACACTCTGCAACTTCCCGTGAAGTTCCTTAGGTGGCCACTGATATTACTGATGAGATGGACCGGTCTACACAAAGAGCGGTGATAGTTTTGATATCGTTGGGAGGCTTAAGTGATCTTGGCAGATCACTTGATACTGGCTGAGCTGAACTCATAATGTGCCCGCAATGTGCCATCACTGAATGGAGAATTTGGTATTGTATCATCCTCAGGAGTGACGGATTGCTTATGATATTCATTTAGTACGAAGATTGTTGGTGGAAACTGCCTTGTAGCATTGCGTATCCATAGTTAAAACCTCTCCTTCGGTCCTGTTAAGCATGATAAGTTACGGAGCCGCCACATCATGATATCCGTTTGTTCTTTATTGCATCAAGAAAGTACAATGGACGCAAGTACCCGTTACGCATCAAGTGGCATTGCGAGATCCCGACTGCTGGTAAAGTCCAAGTCGATGCAAACGAAATCCGAGTCGCTGATAGGCTTCTATTGAGATTATCCCATATGACTGGTAACACCACTGCCGTAAAAAAAAGCAAAAACTTATCTGCAAAAGACGCTGCCGGGCGGTACCCTTTAACCAGTGATTTGATGGCACGAATGACAAAAAATTGAATTCCAGCCATAATTAAGCTATTTGCGGGGTGTCACATGATGACGCTAAATGACGCGACAATTCGCGTTTGTTATCGCGATATCGCAAAACATCAACATATTGCCTATCTACTGTTGCACCTAACAATGTTATAATCCTCATCGACTTTCCAAAGCGGAATTGACATCAGATACCAATGGATCCACGAAAAACACAGTACTATATTCACTCCTCATGACTCGACATAATCTTCAAAGTCATATTTCTTGGTTGATTCAAAACAAAGTCACTATCCCCGCTGGAGTCCAAATTGCTACATTTGCAGATACGATTGAACCAGGATTCGCGAATTTAGAGGGTTTCGAAGGGGAAGGTATCGCACACGAAGTAAGAAACACACCAATTGCTCCGATTCGAAATCGCCGAGTCGAGGAAATCTCCAATGTTGTGGCGAATTCACACCCACCACGTCCTCGTATACTTACTTCGATAACACAATCTACACCAGTGCCTGGGGATGAATTGGCAGATCCGGAAATGGGAAAACTCACATCTGCGCGAAAGACGACTAGGCCAAGTCTCATAAGTCAAAATCAACAACTTGGAACCCCTTCCTCCACGGCCAGCTCCTCCCTTACAAGAAGCTATAAGCTACAATGTAATGAAAATGGTATGTAAATGAAGGCGATCCAGTTTGGTTCATAAACTGATTCCATTAGGTACTCCTTCCAGACCCATATCTACAAGAGAACCGAGAGGTCTAACACCTCGCCCAGCTCCGTTGCCGAGAAACAGAGTCAATTTTGCCAATGTGGAATCAATAGATCTGACCGGGGACGATCTGATTGGAGCTCCTATCGTAAATTCATCTAGCACAGTGGAAGCCTTTGAAGATGCTTCTGTTACTTTGTGGGATGAGAGGTCAGCATCCAGACCGGAACCTTTGAAGCGGGCGAAGAAACGGAAGAGTGAGGAATTATCTATGTTACAGTCTCCCCGAAAATCTAAAAAAGTACCAGTACACGCAACAGAACTGCAAGACGAGCAACACGATTTCTTTATGGACATCGACGAACTAGAAATGCCAGGGCCATCATTTCGAGATACCCTTCCCGACTCTCAACGAACAATTGTCCCACGCAAAACAGTAGAAGAATACCCTGATCTGGGTTTATTGGAAGAGGTTGATATGGTCGGAGACATTATTTCTCGAGGCGAACGTGCGAAATCTAAGATTCGAAGCCGGCAAAATTCGGAGGACATTGTTATGGACAGAAGACCAACACGAGGACCGACCCCTGTTCCCACGATCAGTTCTCAGAAACGTGTTACACCTCTTTATGTGCGACATGTTTCGCCAGTTCAAGTACAAGCGTCTCCTGCTATTAGAGGTCGTGAACAGCGAGCAACGAGAACCCCGTCACCCCTGAAATTTCGTAGGCTTAAGAACGAAATTTTTGACTCTGAAGACGACGACATTCCGTCAGAGGTCGAGGCAAGAGTAAGCTGCTCGCCTTGCCCACCATCGATAAAAATATCGGAAGGAATCCATAGTACGCCAGACAATCATGCAGCACCCAAAATTCAAATGCACGAGAACAGTGAAGTAACTCCCGCCAAGAAGAGATTTACTAGCCCACTACATCCGATATCACAAAATGCATCATTCTGCCAGGAGAACGAGCCATCTCCTTTCCAACGGGATTCTCCTACAAAGTATATGGCTTCACAGACTTTACCTCAACGAGATTCGAGTCAGGCCTCAGCAATGTCTTTGGGCTTCGAAGAAAAAAGAATTGTGAGCTTGTATCTGAAGAATCCATCGGCACTTACGCTTTTTCAGGAACACCTCGACAATCTTCTCAATCAAAATTTTGAGGCACTTCAAGTCTATCTTGAGGATGGTGAGCATCCTCCGGCGGAAATAGTAGCCGAGCGAAAATCTATGCTGGACCAGAAAAAGGCCTTCGAAGCTCTGGCGGAAAATTTGCAAGGACTGCAGGATCTCGCTTCAAAAACAACTGCTGCCTTACACAGTTTATATATCCAAGGCGAAGATAATGGAGAGTCTGAGGTGCTGACCAGTGAACTTTTGGAGAAGAAGAAAGAATGTTGGCGTTTACTAGATGCTTCTGGCGCAATGAACTACGGTTTCGGGGCTATCCAGTCTACAAGGACTCCGCTTTCTACCCATACTTCGAGTGCGGGTGCAGGTGGACAAGTCGTTCTACAGACCCAGATTCCATCTCTTTCGCATCAATCATCAGGCGCAACGAGATGCTCTACGCAAGAGCGCACACCATCTAAATATCAGAATCCTGGCAGGTCGAGGGAACAAGTGTCTCGTTATGCTCCACCATCTTCTATGAGAAATATGTCGCCTGTCAGATCAATGATTTCTGCCATTAACTACTCAAGGCCTGATAATTCCGTCAAAAGGCCGGATTTTTATAGAGAACCTTCGCCGACAGACTACGGTGCTGACGATGACTTTCTCATGCTGCTTGAAGACGAGGAGGATTTTACGAAGGGGACTAAAGTAGATAACGAGCAATTTGAGGAGAATTTGGCGGAGGCAGAGGAAGAGTATGGGGATTTCGATGATGATGACGATGAAGCTATTCTTAATTTGACACATCAAGTTGAGCAAAGTAACTCTTTCAAGCCATCTTCAATGAAATCATCCCTCAACGCATCATTTCAAGACGCATCACGAGACCCATCGAGAAGTTCAAAGCGTGGTAGCCTGAAGTCAGACAGACCGAAAGATATGTATTCAGTTGTGGACTCTTCACGGACAGATATGTATAGTTATGCGTGGTCTAATGATGTCAAAAAGGCACTAAAGGATCGTTTTCGCTTAAAAGGCTTTCGACATAACCAGCTGGAAGCAATCAATGCTACCCTAGCTGGGCGTGATGCATTCATATTGATGCCAACTGGTGGCGGAAAATCTCTATGTTATCAATTGCCTGCAATTGTACAATCGGGCAAAACGAAGGGCGTTACAATTGTGGTTTCTCCTCTTTTGGCACTTATGCATGATCAGGTAGATCACCTCCACAAACTTCGCATTCAGGCATATCTGTTCAATAGTGAATCAACTCCAGAGACAAGACAACAATTGTTCAATGGCTTAAATGAAAGGAAGCCAGAACAATTTGTCGAGTTGCTATACGTCACCCCAGAGATGATTAGCAAAAGCAATGCTATCCAGTCAAGATTGGATGATCTCTATGCCAAGAAACGACTTGCTCGCATTGTTATAGACGAGGCTCATTGTGTGAGCCAATGGGGTCACGACTTCCGACCAGACTATAAAAATCTTCACGAGCTTCGCGAGAGATATCCCGGTGTGCCATTTATTGCATTGACTGCCACTGCAACAGAAAGAGTAAAGAAGGATGTGATTCACAACCTTGGGATGCAAAATTGTGAGCAATTAAAACAAAGTTTCAATCGACCTAATATTTACTACGAGGTTCGACGTAAAACAGGCAAAGGGTCGACGGCGGCAATGTTTAGCGAGATAACCAAAATGCTTTCTGTCGACTACAAAAACCAGAGCGGAATTATATACTGCCTCTCTCGTGACAATTGCGAAGAGGTGGCTAAAAAGTTACGGGAGCAAGGGATCAAAGCACATCATTTCCATGCTCATATGACGCCCGAAGAAAAGAAAGATACCCAACACAAGTGGCAAATAGGAAGTATCCAAGTCGTGGTTGCAACGATTGCCTTTGGTATGGGCATTGACAAACAAAATGTGAGGTTTGTCATCCACTATTGCCTTCCCAAAACTTTGGAAGGCTATTACCAGGAAACTGGTCGAGCTGGCCGAGATGGCAAACCGGCTGCGTGTTTCCTCTACTACGGGTTTCAAGATAGTCAAATCTATAAAAAGATGATTGAGAAAGGAGAAGGTGGGCCAGATGTCAAAAACGAGCAGCGTCAAATGTTGGAAGCTATGGTACGATTTTGTGACAATCGCATTGATTGTCGCCGAGTACAGCTACTGCGGTACTTTGGTGAGACTTTCAAGAGGGAAGATTGTGGTAATTGTGATACATGCAATTCCAATGACACTTACGAAGAACGCGATTTTAGTAGCGAGGCCCGGAAAGTAATCAGTCTGGTTGGTAAAGTTCAGGGCAATTTTGCCATTGGCCATTTTTCAGCTGTGTTGGAAGGCAAGGCATTAGCAAAGATTAAATCCGAAAACCATCACGAACTTGATGAGTTTGGCTCACTAAAAGACATGGGGAAGACGGAGATTGAACGACTCATTGAGAAACTCATCCAGTTTGGAGGTCTGCAGTTCCGTGCCATTAAGAACAGGGGTGGATTTCATAATGACTTTGTTTTTGTAAGAGAAAGTTCCTTCTGCAATGTGCAAACACTAATCAGTCCTCTAGCTTGGTCCAAAACATAGGCAATACATGTCTAAAAACTTAAGACTTCCCTTGCAAACTAGAATATCGACGTCGCCAGCCGCAGCTTCACGTAAAAGCACAAAAAGCAAAGCCAAAAAGCAAGCACCGCCACCGTCTACATTACTTACCTCGCCAATAACTCAAAGTCAAAGCCGCTATAGTAGAAAGGGTAAAGAACGGCACGTTGAAGATGAGGATATAAGTGATGCCGATTTTCATCCAAGCACCTACCCACAGCACGACCCTCCTGCTTCCGACAGTGTTGAAAGCTCAGAGGAGGAGGATTACTTCGAGCCGACGAGGGGAAGCAGTAGAACAATGCGCGGCGTTAGACAAACTAGTCGCATTGGGCCACCAATCACGGTCGATGAGGAAATGAAGATGCTAGATCCAATACATAAAGAAGTCGTGATTGCTTTCGTTCGGGATGCCAAGATGCTGGAAGAAGCTCTTAGGAACAAGAACAATCACAGAAAGCCCTATTTCACAGAGTTTGAGTTCAGACGGATGGCAATTCGCTGGACGACAAATACTACTCTGATGTCACAAATACCTGGAATCGACGAAAATAATGTAGCTTCGTATGGCAAGCGATTTTTGAAGTTATTAGAGGAGAAAAGATTGCATTATAACGAGATGATGGATCCACATTTCAAGACAGATAAGAACCATCTAATAGTAAACTTGGTGAGCGAAGACGAGGAGAGTGGAATGGAAGATGAATACGGAGCCCATCCAGAAGGGCCGTCCCCGTACTTTCAAGTCGATCCAGCAGTGCAAGCATTCAATGAGCGAATGGAGATGGCAGCCCAAGTTCCAAGGACTCAACCAACACAAGCTGAATCATCTAAAAAATCATATCAAAAAGGCTCTAATGATTACAAGTCAAAACCTCGATTTAACAGCAGGCGAAAAAGTGGTGGTTCGACGTCAAGTAGGGCAGGGTCAAGCAGTGGTGTTACAAAGAAGCGAGCACCTGCGAGCAACAGAAAACCCAACACTGCGCCGAAGGGATCAATAATGGCTCAGTATGGTAGAAGTAGTGGTGGTGGCGGTGGTAGTGGAATAAATCCCATGCCAACTTGAAACGCGGTATTGATTTCTTGAGGATTTTCTTTCATCTCTTTACTTTCAACCACGGCTTTAAATGCATGTGTATAGGGATAGGTTTGGAGTTCCAGGAGCTTGGGTTCGAATTGCTTTTTAGCATAGCGGCTAGCATCTTGGGGGGTTTCTGGCTAGGGCTTGGCTGGGTTTACGACACATCTTTCATGAGTTATAGATTAATGATGATTTGATAAGTATTGTTAGTGATTATGCCCCAGGACTTTCCTGGGGTGGTTCTAATAAATCCGAGTGGATGGAGATGGGATTGGTATATTGTAGCATAGCGTAGCTTGAAGAATTATACAAATGTTAGATATATGTTCCATGCATTCACAGGTCAATTTAGGGTTGGAAAAAGGTTGTGAAGTTACTTTACATCTCATTATCCATCCAAAGAAATTCATGTCTCCACACTTCATATTCAGCGAGGTCTTTGTTACTTCTAATAAAACTTGAGATTATAGCATTGCTTGTGTGATTACCATGCGTATCCTTGAGCCCCATCCTCATCTCACCAGGTTAGGACATGCTATCCTCCTCGCGTGTTCCCAAAGTGGGAATGCTGGGGAATTTTTTTGTAGATTTGCATATGCATACCCATTTTTATATATTTATATAATATATTTATATAATATATTTATATAATATATTTATATAATATATTTATATAATATATATATATATATATTCAATCAACCCCCGCTGAATGATAGATATATAAATGTATGAATCTCATCTTTTTATTAAGAGGTAGTTTACGATGTTTTGAATTTTATGTCCTATGGGGCGGCAGATTTATTTCGATATATAGCTAGGTATGTAGGTATGTAGGCATGTATAGAATTACTCGGAGATTGGTGTATTTCAAGGAAGGGAAGGGAAGGAAAGTTGACCGGTCACTTCCTTATGATTTGATGATCTTGGAATGTTTCATCTCTGGTTTTGGGTTTTGTGGCGTGAGTTTCTGGGTGTGGATAGTTTTTGGGGGAGGGGAATGGAAATTCTAGTTAGATTATATAGTTAGGTATATAGCAGATATGGTTTTGTAGTAGGTAGGAGATAATAGATAGTAAATAGTAGGTAATAGATAATAAATAGTAGGTAATAAGTAATAAATAATTAGTAATAAATAGTAAATGATTAGTAATAAATAGTAAATAATAAATAACAAATAATAAGTAATAGATAATAGATACTAAATAATAAGTAGTAGATAGTAAATAGTAGATAGTAGGTAGTAGGTAGATGAATAAAAGAATTATGCTTGTACTTTTTAAGAGGGTTGTCGATGCTGGAATGGGTGGCATGTGTAGATATCAATGGGAATTATAGTAGTAGTAAATTCATAATCGATTCGGTCTATCTAGCTATACTAAGATCATATAATGCGTCTATATATATATGGTTTCTAATTGAATAAAGTAGATGGGAAAAAGAAATAAAAACCTATTCTCTTTCAAATTTCCTTATTAAGATTTACAGGTAACCTTCTGAGTAATCCTTTCAAGTTCTTCAAGTTGTCTATATTGTAGATCTATTATATTTAAAAACCTTTCCCTTATTAAATCCTTTAATATATTTATAAAAACTTTATACTTTTTATTTTATTATAATAATCCTTCTCTTTTTATTCAATTTCTTTCAAAATATTATAAAAGCTATAATTAATTATAATGTTATATTCCTTTTGAAAAATTGTTTTTATTTTTTAATACTTTAAGTTTTTTAGGAATTTTATTATAACCTTTAATTCATTATTTATAAGCCTTATATTCATATTCTCCTATAGTATATTGATAGTATATAATTTCTTTTTAAAATCTAATATTTCCTATTTTCTTTTCTTTTATTGAATTACTTTATTGATATAGGATATAATATATTAAGGTTTATTAAACTATTCTATTAATATAGGGGATAAAACTATATTATAGGACTAGATAATTGAATAAAATCGAAATAATAAATATAATAATATCGAAATACTATTGCTTTAATAATATATACTTTATATTAAAGGATTATTATTTTTTTATTTATAGTTGATAGTATATTGTTTGTTATATAAGGTGGTATTGAAATTGATATTTTGTAATAATATTGTATACTAATATAAAATACTATATATCTGAATTAATATATTATAAAGGTTTTTCGGAAGATTTGACTTTTCTTTTTATTATATAAAGTAGTTATAAGTATATTAATAGGATATCAGATATTATATTAATATATTTTTTATAAAATATTTCTTAAAAAAAGTAAAGTTTTTTAAAAAGTTTTCATTTTTATTTTCTTATATTCAAAAATCTTCTTTTTTATAATTAAAATCCCCCTATAAGATCTTTAAGTATTAAAAAACTTAAATTATTATAGAAATCTATAATTTAATCTTTTCTATTAATTATATTCAATATAATAAATCTATTATTGATAATATCGATATTAATAGTTCTAATATAAACACATTAAATCCTCCTTTTCAATACTAATAACAATATCTCCCCAACCCAGATAGATATTAATTCAGCAATTTCAAGAAAAAATAGAAATTGATATTTTAATTCGAATATAATAAAGATTAATAAGTTTTTCCAAGAAAATCTTTCCTTAGTTTTTTCGTGTTTTCTAATCTTAGGAATTATATATTGTGTGATTTTATATATATTTAGGTAGGTAGGTAGGTATAGGGAATATTACTTGTACATATGTCTAGGTATGTCAACGAGATGAATGAGGAGAGGAATGAGTGGGTGTGAGAACCTCGAGTGGATTTGTAGATTTGTGGGATGATGGATGGGATTGAAGAGGTGAGGAGATGGGATATTCGAAGTCGATTTTGGAAGTCTGGATTGGGATGGGAGGAAATGAGATGCCTGTATTTGCTAGATAGATCAGTAGGGGGGAGAAAAATAGCCAGGGGGTAGGTAGCGAGGGAGTAGCTAACCGATATTGAACGCGCCATCCCGTCGGTAGGTACTGAGTGAGATTTAGAGTGAGGATGTGGTGATTGGTGAGTGGTGTGATGTGTATTTGGGTATGAGACTTAGGAGAGGGAGTTGATAGGAGGTGAGTTGGGTATGGAATTGGAATGGGCGGATATGTACATTATATGTAAGACTACCTAGATGTAAAAATCCATCCAAACCCTAGGGTTGATCGTGTATCAACGAGGATGTATGATGTGTGACGAGGAGAAAGGGACACGGAGAAATCCCGAGGATAGTATTGTGGTGTGGCTGGTGTATGTTACCTATTTCGAGGATGCAAGTAAGGTTGATTTATGTTTGTAACTTGTTTTGGGAGATGGATTTGGATTTGAGATGGATGCGTGTTATATTATGTTGTGATTGAGTTTACTTGTGTGATTTTTTACGTATCTTGTATCTTGTATCTTTGGGTTATTATTGAGACACAAGTGTGAGAGGGAGTAGACGCAGAGTAGTCCATCATGATAAATTGGATATGTTGGTTTGTCTAATGTGGCGAATTAGAGATTTGTATTTATGTTTACATCAATGGATGCTAGGACTGCACTAGGTATGTTTGAATAGAGATTATTTACATGCATGATACAAGATATTGTAGCGGTGTTACCATGGACTCGGGGTTGAGTTGATATGGTAATATGATATGCATGGAGTAGGGGATGGTATGGCGAGAATTAAAAGGAGTTGATAATTCGATTGGTTAGTGGAATGGAGATGGATATGGAACAGGAGCTTTGAGGTTCTACACATGTATGTGTGTGTGTCTCGTGGTACGGCATTTTCCTTTCTTTTTGGTTAAGCAGCTCGGTGGAGATTAATAGACACCGTGGATACCACGACACTGCGCTGCGATTCATGATTTGGGAAGCATAATAATTGGATGGTTATTAGCGGAAGTAGAATGTTTCTTGGCTCTCTCTTTGCCCATGAGGTGAGGTTACCTATATTAATAGGAGAAAGTACGAACACGAGGAAGATGCAATGTAGTAGGGCCTTATATACAAGCGGATTCTGGTTCGGAGTTGTTTGTGAAGTGTCATTGAATGCTCACTGGATGCTGTTCAGATGAGAGTGATGAGTATGGGTGAGATGACGAAGGCGAGATTAAATAGTAAGAGTAATTGGTTATGGAGAAAAAATCATAAAGTCGGAGAAATCGAGCAGCGTAGATATCTCGAGGATTATTTCACGGTCGTGTACATTAGGTAGGTAGGGTGGGCAGGCAAGGATGAAATCTGAAGCCCCGTGCCGAACACCTTCGAAACGAAACAACGTTGTAGAGATTCCAGAATCTGAGTCGATGAATAGGATCTAGGAATGATATTGGTTGAGTAGGTAGGTACGTAGGTAGTTATCAAAGCAAAGCAAGGAAGAAATGAAAATTTAGATATTCATGAAGAATTTTCCCTGTCCCATCTTGGCTTTCTTGACAAGACACAATATGGCGACGAAGAAGACCGACCCCATATGTACCACTGGATTCATTCGATTGACTAGGACGTGTGAAATGGAAATGTAATACCTAGTATTCTTCATCATGGGACCTTGTTTTGAGCCTCACTTGAGGTTTAGCTGAAAGGCAATTTATTTGAGGGTGTGAGTTGTGGGATTTGATTGGGTGTTTTGGTGTGGGTGTTAACCGCTGGGAAATTTAGAGTGCAGTGAGTGAGTGAGTGAGTGATATGTGGATGATTGACAAGAGGATAGTCAATGGAGATGGGGGAAGATGTGAAATGTGATTGATAATGTTTCATATGTGATAAGATTGGCATAGCCAGCCTGGATTTCAATTGCCGTCGACCAATAGATGATGGTAGATACATCTGCAATGTGTAGTCACGGCACTGCCGTTGAAATTGTAAAAAAAATAGATTGCAGTATGCGAGTATGCTTAACTACTCTCTTCATGCATGTTGAATATCATTTTTACATAATATATATATTACATAGTCAGCGTAGCTTAGCTATAGATAGACTGAATCGATTAAT